CACAATAGTAATTATTTAAGTATAGTAGGTAGCAAGTTTTTATTAGAATTTTTTTAGTGTGTTACTAACCGAATGGGTGTTTTAAGTGGTTACTCAAGTTAACACGTTGGCTACCAACAGCTATGTATCATGGTGAGCATTATTGCCTAGCATGTCAAATACGAGGTAACTCGTAGTTTGTTTACTTGCCATATTTGTACAGCTACAATGAGATTTGTAATTTGTAGTATATTAGTGTAAATATAAATAGATGGACTCAAAGAAGAGAACAAAAAAATCAATTTTGGCTTACATTAATAGTAAATTTAATTGAACCAAAAAGATATTCATACAAAGTTTAATGAACATCCACAAGCAAAACAATACTTTTTGTGGTGATTTAGGAACTTTCCAGAAAATAGGCTAGTTTTGTATCACATAGTACATAGTCTAATAATACATATCGGGATATTTATAATTTGATTATAAAAATAACTATTAAACAACACATAAAACAAAGGTATACATGTAATGCACTCGACAGTAAAAGGACAAGTTGAAGCGTAACTCAACAACGAGTTAACGTCTCCGCGATAGATCCCGTTTTAGACCAGAGTCTTGGAAAGTACCGTGACAGTCAATGTGTTAAATTATATAAAATACTGCAGTACTCTAATGCGGAAATGACTGATATACTCTTTATGTACGTTTTCACCAATTCCGAAGTTTATCATAAAAGAAACTGAAGTTTAGCTATGTTATACAAATACATTCTGTATAATAAATATTTTACCAAGTCGATGATTGTTCGGCGCAAGATACTTTTTGACACATGATTTGGAGTTTTCTAATTACTTCTTTACAGTAAGCACATTTATGTCTTGAAGAAACTAAAATATATGTATAAAATCGTATATGTCGAACTTATTGCCTAAACGGCGGCGTTGTATGTGTATGTGTCTATCATCCCCAATTTGTACATTGTATATTTTAAGCCACATTTTTTTTGTCAGGTGTTGAGACGTTATCTTATGATGCCCAAATATTATATTGCCGTCCGCTTAGGTATCAATCATAGATTACTTATCGTATGTAAGTTGACTATGTCTATATACAGTATTGGCTGTGCAACCACAGTAAGTATGTACCGGGTCATCTTGCAAAAATGTCCTTTCGTAATTACGAAATCAATTGCGAGTCGTATTTAATATCTCATCAAAAAACTTTATCATTTGAAAATATATTCAAAGCAAGAGCGCTACGATGTATGTATGTAGTTTCATGTGGGGGTGAATTCCTTCACAGCCCCAGCGAGCCCTACATCCTCACAGTTAACAGTTTATTCAGGAGTCAGAAAAGCAGCCCAAGATTTTCTTTATGTCCGAAAATTGGGGCCATGATACGCCAAAAATGGATTCCCTTAAGTACGCGAAGTTGGGACAATCACAAACAATATGACTTGTGGACCGTCTCTTCTTCCATTTCACGCCCTCTAGAAATTGTTGTGATCGCCACCTTCATGTAGAACTTGTGCTTACGTAACCTGCAGTGTCCAGTCAAAAAGTGGGTGAAGAGCCTCCAGTCACTTTTTGATTTTCCCGGGAACTGAGTAGACCTCTTCCGGTCAGGGTAGAGCAGAATTTTCTCTGCAAAGACACCTACTGCAGTCTCATGCCATCTATCTCAAAAAACTCGATGGGAGATGGTGTTGATCAGCTTTGATGCTATATTAAAAGTTCACTTACTACGACTTCTTACCCGCCCATTTCGCCAACCTGTCCGCATAATCGTGTGCCATATTTCCGGTATGTCCTGTCCGACATTTTATTGTGATGTTGTTATAAACATTAGCCTCTAAAAATTACGCACCCCTCTCTCTACATACATACAAACATTAGCCTCTGCAAGTGATTGCTGACAGGACTTCATTAGCGGTGATGCAGTTCGATGCTTACTAAGCGCTAGCATAGTCTGTCTACTATCAGTGCAGATATCAGAGCAATATTGAGAATAATGAAATTATTCGTGTATTTGTCAGCTAGGACGATCATGATCGCTAGAAGAATCCTAATCAGAGTCGGCATGTTGAGAAATTGCAATCTTGTGTTGCACTTGCATTGATCAATTTATCACAACGTCACAAACTTTGTACACTTCATACGCTGTAACGCAATCAAAGGCAGCTATGCGAAAATTCTTCGGTATTCTTCTTATCTATACTTATTTATCATGTCTCGACCAAATGAGTGAAATGAAATAAAGGATTCAAGACGAATTTCTTGATATCACAGCAAAGAGGTTGCAACAATTAATGAAAACAAAAACTTTAATACTAGTTAGAAGTATGCACACATACAAGGGGACGTCATCTAGTGGACGTACTTTTTAAACATTACTAATTTGTATTACTGCATCTTAAACTGCAAATTTCTATCAATAAAAATATTTTCTTGAATTTTTTTCTTATTGGGTTTTTGAAAATTTTTTATTTTTCTGTGTCGCGCTACATATTTTTATCAAGCCTAGTCACAAATAAAATCACATTTTTTCAACCGTATGTTGTTAACACATGTTCCCGTTCTTCTTTTATTACATCTGCGTTTAGAACACCCTCGTTTTTTTCATTATCATTAAGTTCCGTAGGACTAGGAGTTTCAAGAGCAATCAACTCACGTTTCAACAAATCTTTCTCCACCAAATGCGTGTGCTATTACAATAATGTTGGAAAAATCGGTTGTATTAATAATGAGATCTTTGTTTTCATGCATTGTGGCCACGCCGTTTTTCAATATCCATTTAAAATTGTATTTTAAATCCTTTCAAGCATGTTGCAAGGTTCGTTACGACGATCTTGATCTACTGACTGTATTAAAGAAGCTATACTTGGCGCCAGATAAACAATTTGTAAGTTTTAAGGTTCCAGGACAGTATGACTGAGTGAAGCATTGTCGAGAATCAAAGGAATTTTAAATTCGAGACCTTTCAAATTCATATTTCGTCTGACTTCTAGGACGTAATATCTGTTGAAATATTCTGTAAAGGAATATAACCCAGCTTCATTACTTCCCATGCAGTGAATAGGTAGTTTACTGGTAGTTTATTTATCTATATCCTTGATTGACCATGCTTTTAGGGCTTGAAATCAGTGATTTCCACAAACAATCTGCCTGAACTACTTTAAAACTAGTAGTTAAGAATCCTTTATCTTCAATAACCTAAACAAGTTCCTTGAAAAATGCTTTTGCCGACATTTTACTTACAGCAAAATATAATCTTTCTGTTTGGTTGATTAGGAGATGAATTACTTAGCTCTTGTTAAAAAACGTTTGAAACATACCAAAATATCGATCCCATCTTCTAATAAATGAACTATACAGCCAGGTGAAGGTGTGTGAATGGAAAGTTGTATGAATTATCTGCAATAATTAATATAGCATCATTTTTTGCAGTACTAACTCAGATTTTTTGTAAAAAATCCCTAACAAGCCTTTCCTAAATTTTGACCACTAAAAACTTATTATTACAGTTGGTTTGACTTGGTTTTGACACTTGGTCATAAAGCAGAATTGTACGCTCTATAATTCAACAAAAATTGTCAAAATCGGATAATAAATACAAATTTGATGAAGATGGCAACAAATTAGTTACATTACAACTCTGCCCAACAACAATTTTGTAATACTTGATAATTGTGAAGTATGAACTAAGTAAGCTCACGACCAAAATGCGATCTTATAAATACTTTGCAAAAGACTTACGCCTGCATACTTTGAAAAACTTTGATCCGAGTAAGACTCTGGCTTGTGCGTTAGGGGTTAAATGATGTGTTTACTTGGTTGGATAGTACTATGAATATTTTGTTAAGTTATTTCAACCTTTCTTGATTGGAATAGAATATAAAGTACGCAACATGTATGGTTAATCATACAATCGACTAAAATTTGGAGTTAAACAAGTTCTATCGAAAACATAAAATAATTGCGGTTTGTCGATAACATATCGAAATAAGAACTCGAATATGGACACACAATACGAAGCCTAAAAAGAAGACAAAAAATCGTTTGTGTTTGTGTCAACAATTTGGCATTGTGTCAGATCATAAGATATATGACCATTTGATGTGAATAACATTTGACGTTAAGTGTTCTTTTGGTCGCACATTTGAAGCTTACATCAAAATTACCTAAAATGGAACCCTCTTTTCTCGCAGATTCCAAAACATTTGAAGAAACTTATACAATACCCAGTAAGGCAACAGCTAAATTGTACTAAACTGTACTAAGTAAGGATGCAATTAGAGTTCCTATTTCTAAAATATGAAAAATTATTCTATCTAAATTATGAATATGATATAGTAAATAATTTCATAAATCAGGAAATGCATGTTCCTTGTCCAATATAGATAGCGTACCTACTGTGTACATTAATTCAAGCTCGTTTATCAAAAATGGATTATAGACAAGTACTTTAATAGACAGACCTAAGAAGAAGAAGTAAAATTATAAAATGCATACAACGAAGTAAGCTACAACTAGCTATAACATTCGAGTCTTAACTAAATAAAGGAAAAATTACGTAAAAACTTTCATAAATCTAACATAAATAACTATGACATAACAGTAATAAAAGGCAGAATAGACGTCCTAAGAATTTTTTTGTTATCTTAGAAAATTCTTTTTATTAAATATACGATAAACGATCATTCAATATATCAAACGTTTACTTTTACTTCCTCAACAACGTACATAAGTTTCCATTAAGGTTTCATCGAGACCACTCGCTGATTAACACACGTAATTCGTTTCAATCACACATGTGTTCATTCCAGCAGCCGTACACGGTGATCTCGTACGTCGGACCCTCGACTTATTATTGGTAATAATTCATAAAGACCTTCGGTCTATACTTCTCAAAAGGAGATTATTAACGACGTCGACAGGACCGTATAAAACTTTTTTCTAAGATATTAAAAAAAAATAATAAAAAAAATACTTATTTAAAATTTATTAATTTTATTTCAGATTCATTATGGTGTTAGTATTGAACGGTGTATTACAAGAGGAGTGTCCTGTAGACACGAGAAGCCTCTACATTCAACAGCCGATATACAGGGACACAGCAGCCCAATTATTAGCTATCCCTAATAAGGTCATCGGCCCTGTCGGACTTCTCTACGTCCTCCAGAGGGAAATGGCTGCGACAGTACCACATGACAGTAAGTATTACTGCTGCTTACATGCTACTCCTAAATTACAGCAATTAATTATCGGGCATGTTGCTACATTGCCATCTCAAAGTTGACGACACATTCCATTACGCTAATTACCCTCATTTTTATTTTAAACTCATCCACCAACATATTTTTCTTCTTTTCTAGAGCATGTCAATATACTTGGATCAGGAGATGCCACCACATGCATTATCGTTGTAGTTAGACATTCTGGTAAGTTATTTTAAAATTACTATTAATTAATTGCTACAATTAAATCAAAATTAAATAATCACATTTAATGACTTTATCGAGCTTGTATATTAGATAAAATAAATGCAAATGTGTTGATGATTTAATTCTTACAGCGAATAAAGATGACACTGATATCATTCAAGATGCATAAAGGCTTTGCTTAAGACAATTTGATAATCCACGTATGGAATAAATCAAACTCCTCCAGCATAAATTTACTATCTTGTTACATCTCATTTCTGTTGTATTATCGTGGGATTTCGAAATGATTCGAGTCTCCGTACACAATCGGTGTACGTTATGTTTCTATTCGTGATCATCGTAAACATTTTCGCCATTTCCCAACGTCATCAAATCAATCACGATGAGTTAGTGGAAAACGTTATCGTAAAATTTTACGGTTAGGTGATGATAATAAGTAATACCATCTGTGGTTTCATATCATTTTTGTTATTGGATCAATTAAGATGAAAATTTTTAAAAGTGAATACATAATTATCGTAAAGCTCGTTAAGCCTATTATTATCATGATAAAAAATTGTTTGTTTTGTAATAATATAGTTTGTAATAAAAAAAATGTATGAAGATTTCTGAATTGATATAGAAATACGAGCAGCGTTAGTTGCAACAATCACGACTGCATTGTTTTCTAACAAATAGTCGGCCAAATTGGTCACACAGATAACAGCTTATTGCGGCACCCAAGACCTGTAATTGTCGGTCACGAACGTTCTAAATTACCGTATTCGACGGCGAGGACAACGCAAAACCGTAATATTCTTCTTATACCTGCATGAAGGAAAATAATTGGTAAAGTAACCGTGATCATCAACCCCATTTAATTGTTCCTATCGATCGATCGTGTCAATCTTCTTTGAAACTTTCACAAAACACGTACTAATAAATCTAATAATCTCTCATCTTATTATTTAATGCCTTAGATTCGCTTTTAAATTGCGTTCAAAGTGCATACTAAAGATAATGTGTATTAACCTAATTTTAATTTCCTATTCGAACAACCTCTATTCTCTCGTATCCATTGTATGTTAATAACATCGTGATCTGCTTAACAAAAGCAACGTTGAAAAACCGTGAAATTGATCAATTTTGTTGAATTTAAAACGAAAATATGTTCTGTTGTTTGATGATGAAGACAAACTTCTTGAGTAAATATATGGGATGGGTAAAATGAGCAGTTGTTTGCTAATTGGCAGATGTTCATCAATTAGTGAATGAATAATACTGAATGAAAATAGGTCTACGAGAGAATTTTTGCATTTACATGTTACTTAAAATTATTCGTACAGTGAATAGACAAAATATATTTTTAAGGTTTTTAGATATATAATAATGACTCTATCCATGAAGTTCTTAATTATTAATAATTATTGTAGTCTGTGCTGATAGAAACACGAATATAGTACAATTCCATATTTATTGGATGATATTGATTAAAATGACTTATAGTTTTGAGAAATTTGAGATTCGTAGCACTTTTAATTACACCACAACTTACTTAAAACATTTAGTGCAATAATTCAAACAATGTCCAGGAAAAAAACAAATTTGTTCCATTTTTACATTAAAGCTGTACTTTAAAGCTAAACTAATAAATTAGCAAAAAGTAATTATTCTTAATACTTTTATCTTAAATTTGGTTAAGATTCATTATACAAGACTTAGTTTGTTTCTCACAAGGAGACAACGCAGTTGACTCTTCACCAATTTTGATGAATTTTTTTGTGGTGAATCTATGTTGAATATGTATCAGTTTTACCAGAGCTTTTGATCCAATGGCCCTTCTAAAAGGCGTAATTTATTTTTAAAGTTTAAGACCTTTGAAAATGACAGCCCAGCACTCATCCACCGCGCTATATTATGCTGTTGTCTGCAAGCGGTTTTTCTTTGCGGCATATAAACTTAATTTTCAAAGACCTTAAACTTTAAAAATAAATTACGCCTCTTAGAAGGGCCATTGGATCAAAAGCTCTGGTAAAGCTGATACATATTCAACATAGATTCACCGCAAAAGAATTCATCAATATTGGTGAAGAGTCAACTGCGTTGTCTCCTCAAATATTTATTCTATGCTACCACCAAGTAACTGCTAAAAGTAATTAATTCGTTAATTGCATATATGCACGACAAGTCATAGACAGATTGGAACAAAAGTCTGAAAACTCCTAATTTTCTTGTAAATAAATAGCTAGAATTATCCAAAATTTGGGATTAGCCTAATTTAGAATGTACTATTAGGGATTCCAGACGTACCATCTGCAATGTTGTCAAATTTTCTATTTCTACTGTTAGTCATTTTGGATTTTTAAACGCAAAACCTAGTAATTGTTTCAGTATTATACAAACTATCCTTCAGTACGAGAGTTCAACCATATACAGAGTGATTTATTAACCCACCATCAAACTTTGACATATGATAGCTAATCCAATTACCAAAAAAATTTTAATGAACATATGTCCTATTGCAATTATTTACGAAATTATAACACTTTAAAGTTTTAATTTTTATATCATAATTAACTGCAACATTTTTTTAAACACATAGATATTACAAATATTGTTCAAAATAGCCTCCTTCTGCTAGAATACATGCTTCACAACGACGAATTAAAGAGTTCTTCAGCCCAATTAAAATGTCTGGTTGATTTCTTATTTCAGTAGCAGCCATTTGTATTCTGTTTAATAACTGTTCTCGTGTGTTAATTTCGAATTGATACACAATTTGTTTCATATGACTCCATAAGTAGAAATCCAATGGATTAAGGTCAGGGGATCTAGGTGGCCAAGCAAATGGACCATTATTACCAATACACTTGTTTGGAAAGTATTGGTTTAACCACTCGACAACTACTCTTCCGCGATGAGGTGGGGCACCATTGTGCTGGTTCCACATATTTTGAATTACATTAAGAGGTATATCTTCAAGTAAATCAAAAAATGTATTGTTCAAAAAAAATCTGTAATTTACAGCGTTCGAACGTCCATCAAGTATATGCAAATTAAATTGTTGATAAATATTCCACCCCAAACGTTGCTACTGAAACGTTGTTGAAATTTCCTTGGTCCAATCGCATGCGGATTTTGTAATGCCCAGATATGTTCATTATGGTAATTTTTTATACCATCTCGTGCAAAACATGATTCATCTGTCCAGAGAACATTTGAAATGAAGTCATTATTTTGGGCATGTTGCTGCAATAACCATTCACAAAATGCTAACCGTTGCTGATTATCTCCTGGCTGTAAACTTGAACACTATGTTTACGATACGGATGAAGGACTTCGCGGTTGAATACGCTCCATACAAAATTTTGACTTACTTGTACGTAGTGTGCTATTTTTCGAGTGCTGATGGAAGGATTACCAATGACAGCATTAATTACAGCTTCTTCGTCCTCTACATTAACTACATGTGGTCGAATAGCTTTTGCTGGAGCAGAATTACCTGTTTCTCGAAGTCTTCTAAAAGAACCGTTAAAAACTGAATAATATGGCAAATGACGCTGTGGAAATCTTTCTTGATATTCTCGTACTAATTTCCATTGCAAAAACCATACACGAAAATTACATCAACATACTCTTCAGTGCTATAAGCATACATTTTGAGTGTCTTCTTGTATGTAATAATTAAACCTTACAGCAAACTGACACATTACAATGACAACTTTGTTTTTGTTGAATGTTTCATTTTATTGACTATTAATAAATTTGCTGCAGAAAACTTTAAAGTGTTATGTTCATTAATATTTTTTTTTTTGTAATTGGATTAGCTATCATATGTCAAAGTTTGATGGTGCCCTAATAAATCACCCTGTATAACAAACAATGGTGACATCTCAAGTGCAATTTGTGAACTTGATGCACTTGACTCTGATGGTTGTGCCGTTGATCGATTGCGGGCGCTATCTACATCAACCAGCGTATTTGGACCCCGTGCTTGCTGTTTCGTTGTTTGATATAAAAAAAAACAATGTTTGGCCGACTTCGATCAAAAATAATCTTCTGTGCAAACTTTTCTTCGGAATGTTCCAATGGTATTCAATTTGGTAAATAAAACAAAAACGTTCAGTAAAACGTTCAATAAAACAAACAGAAATGTCGATCATGTTAATTGACTTTCTGCTTGCATTGGTACTATCCAACCTTCTGGTTCAACAAATCAACGCCATCCTTTGTTTTATTAGAAAATTTTACTATTTGGGATTTCCTCTCAGGATTGTCAGAATAAAGCAACAAATCATATCAAAAAGTAACAACATACACGCTCAAAGATGGTGGCAATAGACAAACATCGGTGGAATTTCTTTCCGAATATACTGCTTGAATGCTACACATTCACGGAACGGAAGCAACTGCCGTAGATACACTTTGTGATTACATTTATATCCAACTATTTTTCTCTATATCGACGATGCCATCCAAATTCGTCATTTCGGCGATCATATTGAATATGGTATGAATATTAATTATATGGACAAAGGGTCGGATCTCCAACCGATGTCAAACGGTGTTAACCCTATACCACAAGCAATTCATCAAATAGGATGCGGAAAGCAGATATTTACGCAACTTGTCTGAAAGCAAATGAGGTACAACTTATAGCAGGAACAATTGGTATTGATTCTCTGGGTTATTGTATTGTTTTATCCTTCGATAATAATAACACATTTGAATCTAAACAGCTACCTCTCTTATTGTTTGTCAGCATCAGAATCGGCGTTATCATATTCTTCACTTACTTCATTTCCTTCATCATTTTCACTTGAAATATAATCGTAGTAGTTTTCGGTGTTACTGTCATCACTACCAAACTAATCGAACCACAATTCATCTATATAAATGTACTGTTTACGATGCAATTTCTGTTACAACAACGTGTTACAATAACACCTGACTGCAAGATTAAAATTCACTCAGTCTAACACATACAGTCCGGATTAAGGAAATTTTGTATACAGGCTGCTAAGTACGTATAGCTAAAATATTTAATCGATTAATTGTGTCAATTTGACACCAAGCCTGAATGAGACTGAATCAGTTATAAAATGCATCTATTCCCCATGATTCACCGCAAATTAATTATGCTTTATCAATAATTTGTTGCCTTAATTCTACAAGTCTTCCAGGTTTAGTTTTATAAACTCGACTTTTCAAGTAACCCTAATAAAAAATGTATTTAGAATTCAGATCCAAAACGAACGAAGCAGAACGGGTACTCCATTCTATACTACCTCGTCTACCAATCCATTGTCCATGAAATACCTTATTTATACCAAAATGAGCTGGAACTCCGACTTTTTGAAACCATATCTGATTTTAATTGGCTGCAAACAGGTTTCTCAGTGCAAGTACAATTTCTTTTGTGCGTAGTATTTTATAGCTATTATCTGAGTACTCATTCCACTCATTCATACATTTAACTTTTGTAGTCTTTGAATACGCATCCAGTAGGAATTTACATCACTGCAATACTTTACATTATGCCGATTTACATTCCGACACGATGTAAAGATTACTTACTAAAGAAATTACCGTAATTTTGGTAATTATGTCCATCTTAGTAATCTTTAGTTCATTTTTACATTATCTAAACTTTGTAGGGTTAAATTTATTAAGTTTTCATAAAGCTTTGCAGTGCATTTAAGTTTTGATGTCTGTCATAATAGTATTTGGTCGACTCCTCAGTGACCATCTTTTACGTTTCTAGTTTTCTCAAAATGTTTAACAGTTTCTATCACAATCGCTCTTATGGATACATGAATCATTTACTGTAATACACCCTGTTTCATTAAGAACCATACTATAGAAACGATATACTTTGCAGAACTCTTCAAAATATGTTAAACAGATTTAGTTAATAATGTATTAATGTCAAAATTACAACATGCTAGAATGAATTACTTCCTATCTACTTTGTACTGAAAATTTTATTTATTTAAAACTTAGTGAAGATTTATTTACAATGACATAATATACAGGGTGTTGCATTTAAAAAGCCGTAGTGATCTAGTTATTAGGAAATGTGCAAAAAGATATAAAAAATTGGGTTTTTCAATGCATATATCCTTAGTACTAAAATCAAATTGGCTACCAAAACAGGCATTATATCATATCTTCCCAAATTATAATTATATCACAGGTCTTCCCAAATTATAATTGCCGTGGGCGTCCATCAAGTAGCGAGAGTTAGCAAAAAAATTGGCACATCATCTAGAAATCATCATCTCTGTCTGAGCTAAGGAATTCGTTCGTTCCACTAAGTTGTAGCTTTGTAATTGTTATGCTCTTAAGCTTAAAAACACGGAAATTTGCTCATTCGATATTTCAATATAGTCAGTACACTTAACAGTACTGATAGCACCAATTAGGTCATTCTTAATACATAATGCTGTGCTTCATCCCAAGATCAATTAACCTTACTTTACTTCAAATACCATTGGAAGGTTTTACCTGCAACTAAATCAGTTCGAGTAGGGGTGCTTCATTCCTCTTAAAAATAAGATCATTTCTACATCTTGCAGAGAGCAAAGAAATGCTGTTGTTGGTCAATAACTGCTTGACTTTTTACTTTATTTGACACAAGAACTTCAAATTAACAAATTAATTATTTGTTACATTAAAAAACACTCTTTTTTCTCTATTACTTATTTATTTATTATTTACGTTTAGGTTCTGGAGCTGTAGCATTAGCACATTTAGACGGATCAGGTACTGATGAAGCAGTTTGTAATATGATCCAACGAGTGCAAGATCTTGCAATTGGATATCCTGAAGGAAGAATTGAACTACAATTAGTAGGAGGATTTACAGATGTTCATCACTATTCCGAAGAACTTTTTTATAACATAATGAGTAAGTTCAAAATATTTTCACTAAGAATATTCTTTTCTTAATACATTTTTTTTTGTTTCTTTAGCATGTTTCCACAAACATCCAGTTGAAATAGACTTAACGCTCGCTTGTATTGGTGAATTAAACACAACGCTTCGCGGTGGAATTCCTTGGCCAATTATCTATGGAGTTGGTGTTAATGTTAGGACGGGCGAAATTTTCCCAGCTACGTTTCCGGATAAAGGCCCAGACCAGCCATTAAGATGCGCACGATTCTTAACAGGCGTTTCACAGGTAAACAAATTTCATTGCTTTTCATTTTTAATTTAAAGTTTTAATTTTTTTAAGGTACTCGATATTTACGATTCCAATGTAGGTTTATTAAAAATCGGTCCGTTTAATTACGAGCCACTTCGCGGTGTTGATTTATGGTTATCACAAAGTGATGAGTTTATATTGCAGCATTTATCAACATCTCCAGAAGTAGAACCACCTAATTTCGTTATTCAGGTAATGTTTTTTATATTAATAATTAATCCACTTAATGGTTATTGTATTTTTAGATCCGAGCAACGTTAAAATACATTCAAGACAACCAATTTCCAGCAATTACAGTTTTTAGAGATAACAGGCCACATTATTTTAGGAGGGATGAACAATCTGGGACGTGGCAACCCGTACGATTCTAAATAAATAAACAAAAACATCTACTCCTATAAATATTTTTACAAATGTATCCCTATTAAAAAAGAATATACTATACTCAAATAGAAGAGGCAAAAATTGTAAATAATCAGTAATCTATCGATTACTTTGCTATTATAATCTTGTTACTGTAAAACTGAAGATGTAAAAAATGTAGTTTAAAAATTGTTTTTTTAACAATAACAAAATCAAATCTTTATTATACGATTTTCGATCGACTTGTTATTTGATCTAAATCGTTTATTAACGCTAAATATTTTCGATCTGTTACTGCCAGTAAAGACAGTGAATAACTAAAAAGAAGTTAGTGAATAGAAAATATTATGTGTGTTGAAACTAGAAAAAACATGAATGGATGAAGGGTAGATTGAAGAATATGAATCCGAAAGTCAATGAATGGAAAGAAAAATAATGAAAGAAGACGACTCGAAGATGAATTTTCTTTTAATTCTATTATTATTTTGTAACATGTTAAATCAGACTTGTTATTTTTAGTCGATATATATTTGTTAATTGGGTTGTTGATAATAAATAAACTGTCATTGCTTTGATAAAAGAAATATGTTATTATTTTCATTTAAAAGGAATTAATTAAATTAATATTAACGTTGGAAAATATTTCCAGTGTTTATTTTCGATTTATATAAACACACTATGAAAATTATGTTGAATTTTATTGTAAATTTTTTAAAAACTTATATTGAGTCAAATTTTTATTGATATTCACGAAGAAAATATCTTTAAATAATCTATGTCACGTTCTATATACAGGATGTTTCATAATATATGCGCAGGACTTCAAGATGTGATAGCTCGTCCAAAAATTTGAAAAGAAGTTTCTGTCAACTCGCCCTCTAAAATCCGCCATTTTCGAGATTTTCGAGAACAGGGTGTTGAAATTTAATCGTTTTTTGCGAATATCTCCGGAACCGTTTATCATACAGAAAACAGCTTTTGTAAGCATTTTCTACTCATAATAAGCTAAGATTTATGCGAGGAAAAATTATTTAAACTCATAATTGGGGAAGATTGTGACCGTTTTTGATAAAAATCAACTGTTATGATGCATAATTAAAAAAAAACAATTACAAATCATACACAATTAAGTTAAATGTTGGAAATGTCCGCCGTTAGCTTCAATGCACGCAACAATTCTTCGATGCATTGACTATCTAACACGCAGAAAAATTCCCGAAGTGTTCCGAATTATCTCGCAAGATCAACAATGCGCTCTTTTAATTGGTCAACATTTTCATCTGGAGTAGCGTAGACTAGAGTTTTCAGATGACCCGAAAAGAAAAAATCTAAACAATTAAGTTCAGGAGATCGCGGTGGCCAAGGGTGCGGACCTCCTCGACCGATCCAACGGTCTGGGTATTCGTCGTCCAAGTATTGGCGAGCAACCAAACTAAAGTGAGCCGGAACTCCATCATGCATAAAGTACATATTTTGTCTTACTTGAAGCGGTACATCTTCCAACAGTTCCGGCAGTACTTCTTCTAGAAATTAATTGTCGATAATCTGCACCGTTTACTCTGTTCAGTAAAAAAATGTGAGCCTATCAAATGATCACCGATGGTAGCCCAAACATTTACGGAAAATTGTTGCTGATGATGGTCTTCTGCAATTTCATGCGAATTTTCTTCTGCCCATATGTGGTTATTGTGAAAGTGAAAATACCATCCTTCGAGAAAGATGCTTCATCGGTAAACAGAACTTGGGATCCAAACTCTGGATTTTGAGTTATTTTGTCTTGCATCCATGTACAAAAAGCCAATCTTGGCGGAAAAACTCTTGGCAATAAGGCTTGTACTCTTTGGATATGGTAGGGATACAAAAGTTGCCTTATCAAAATTCTCCAAACCGTCGAGTGAGATAGGTTTAAGTTGTGAGCAATTTTTCTGGGACTTGTGCTCGGATTTTCATCAAGTTCGTTGAGGACAGCCTTTTCTACTTGGGGATTTGCAACTTCCATAGGCCGCCCATTATCAGCAGTATTCCTTTTAAAACTTCCATTTTCCCATAGTTGTTGGTGAATGCGTAGAAACAAGTTATGGTGTGGTACTGGGCGATCAGGATGTCTTTCTTAATACAACCGCCTTGCTTCTGCCGAATTACCGCACACCATTCCATAAGGTATATCCATATGTATTTCGCACGTTTCAGCGTTTATGTAATTCATTTTTAATTTTGTAATATAAGTTTACTTTTTGCAGGTACAAACTAACTGTTATTTTGACAGGAGGTAGCTTTTGTTATAAAATTTAAAGCCTACTTGTTAAAAATAAATTATACAATTTTTTATACAAATGCTGAAATATGCGAAAATCGTTTACGGTTTGGAGAATTTTGAAAATACAACTGTTGTATCATTTTTTCATTATTTTTTATTTTGCAATTATGAAGGTATATAACGCTTGCTTTTGTTACTTGTTCTAACGTTTACATAAATTTTGTTTAATTGTAAAATAAAATTTTTATTTAAAAAAATTGATCATGTTTTTCAACATAAACGTTGATTTTTCTAGAAAACGGTCCACTTTAGAGGTCATGACCTACAGTACCTTTTTTGTGTAGAAAACATTGACGGTTCAAATGGGGCCAAAACCTTTTTTCCAGTGGCGTAGAAGGTGGGGAGAAAAACAACCACTACCCCTTGAAAATCTTCACCAACTATGACTTTAAAAAAATTTTTCTCCCACAAAACATAGATGAGAAACGCTGTTTTCTGTACGATAGAGGGTTCCGGAGATATTGTCAAAAAACATTTTTTTTTAATTAAATTTCAACACCCTGTATCTCGAGAATGGTGCATTTTAGAGGGTAAGTTGATAGAAACTCTTTTCAAATTTTTGGACAAGCTATCACATCCTGAAGTCCTGCGCATATATTATGAAACACCTGTACCAACAGTGTGTTAATTAATTTTTCGCCTCCCATACCTGAAAGTAAATCATATCAGCCCTAAAAAAATAACTGAAAGCTAGATTTTCGGCCCTTAGGATTCTAAACTCTGAACGTCCCTACTTTATAGTTTTTCATCACAATCTAGTTAGTCTTCATTGACATTTGCGGACATTTTTGACGTTTCTCATAATTTTTCATTAAACGTCAGTTGAAATCAAAACTGCTTAATTGATTTATAAAATTAGTTTTATTTTATATTTTTGCAATTTTGTTTGGTTTAATGGGAGGCGAAAAACAGTTGTGTGTCACACGTGCAGAAATGCATTAGCAGCCCTTATCTAATAACCTTGAGCTGCTAATGCTTATTTTCTGCCCTTGAGACAGAATATGCTATATCGTACCCGACGTCATCATTGTAAGTATGCAACCAATATCACAGTATTGGTATGGCACTCTAAATATGTCCTACTACCATTAATACATTATTTATTACTTTAGCTATTCGCCTTTATTGTAATACTCATTAATTACTTATTAAGAATTCTTGTTTTGTCAACACTTATGACTAAGGCTATCAAAACTACATGATGACATAAGACCACATAAGACCTACATAGGACAAATATATGTCATTTATGAAGTATAGCTTTAATAATGTTTTAATTTTGAAGGCTTTTACTCCCTAGCATAACCGTTTATGACACATTGTCTGAAAAGATCCTTGTCAAAGTAGTTATATTGAGTTTTGAATGTTTTTGGATTCTTAACTACAGGAATAAGTTGGTAGAAGTTGCAAAACAAGCTTCTTCGCCATCTTCAGTTATCATCATTTCTTATTCCATTCACTATTTTATTCAATTTAGCAACTGCAACATAAGCTACTCCATCTCAAAAGTCAATCGCAATCTTTGCAATCTCTTCTCAGATCATAGAACTATCACTAAAAGTATCACAACATGTTACGAATTCATATATTCATTGTTCTTCGATTTACATGTTATGAAACAGCATATGCAGAATATTCTGCAATTATATAGGCAACTTATTCTGCTTTTACCACAATTATATCCCGCCAAAATATCTAACCTATTTTATCTTAAGTGTAAATTATTAAATCACTTCCGAATCCATAGTGAAATGTAGTGCTTTAAATATTACTTAATAAATAATGGCAAGTTATTTAAAGTGTAAATTATCTTCTTCAAGTGTTAGAAAAGAAATATCAGATTTAGAAGATCTTCCAGAAACACCTATTATAAACAATTTCCACATTCAACAAAACTTTGAGAATAAGAATGGCAAATATGTGTATGTTTATGGTCGTAATTATGTAAAGGAATTGTTAATATTAGAAGGGGAGGTTTTGTTTAATAGAGCAAGAAAATTGTGGAAACACTTAGAAAATATGATTTTAAATGAAACACCAATACCTCCAACAACTCTGAATGATATAAAAGAAGTTGTTTATTTATTATTATACACAGCACAAAATTTATTGAATTCAAAAAATTCAAATACATGGGATTTCCAAAAGAATATTTACAAGTTTGTTGAGTTATTGAAAAATTCAGTTTTAAATGTATCAAAATCACATGAAAGATTGAATAATAAATTTACTCCCAATATAGTTACATTAAAATCAGAACCAATTTGTGAATATTTCCATTCTTATTTAGGAGCAAAATTTTTGGTCCTATATATAGATAATATTTGTGATGAAGATAAACAAATTGTGAATATTAAAAATTTTATGTTAGACTTAATATCATGGTCTAAAAATATTTACTTTTTAAACAAAGATAGTTTTATTAAAACAGAACCATTTTTATGTTCCTGTGTAAAAAGATTATGGCTGTATTTAATCTATAATCTAAAAATTACTCAAAACAAAGAAAAATTATTTTGGAAAACATTTAATGAACTAATTAGTAATAAAAAAGAAGAAGAAGAATTTATATTTTGGATGGTTTATCACATTTCTGTTTTATATTTATATGATGATAATGGAGATTTTATTGGATTATCTACAAATATCGAAGATAATTATGAACTAATTACAAAAACATTACAATCAATAACATTGGCAAATCCATCTGAAAATAAACTTTGTAATATATTAAAACTTCTTGATCCAATTTTAACAGAAATTTGGGTACAAGATTCGAAATTGGAACCTTTTCAAATACTTTGGGAATACTTTTATAAACACTTAGAAAACGTTTTGAATGATACAAATGTTTCTAAAAATTTAAAAGAAACGTTAGAAATTATCAAAACCAATCCAAAATCATCACAAGATCCGTTTTTATACTACCTTAATATGTTAAAAAATCACTTAAAAATGAATCCTAATCATTGGAATAAAATGAGAGGAAGGATTTATTCAAGATTGCCACCTCAAAAAATGAATAATTATAGTAACAAAGCTATTTTTGGGATTAGTTTATTGTTTATTTATTTATCAGAAGCTGGAATAAATGAATCTATCGAAAAAATTTATAGCTTACTTGAGGGATTATCTGACGACAAACAAAAAAGTGAATTATTATGGATTATTTATTTAACATTGGTAAACAATCACAATTAATTTACAAAGTGTTTAGCTACAAATGTGACAAATTTAATAAATTATAACTTAATCCTTTCTCTAAAATTAATAGCTACAAAATTTTGCAGTAAGTTTAGCTCATTATAGGCACTTTACCAGAACTTTATAAATCAGTACAATAAAGTGGATATCCATTGATCATAAGTATAATTATGCAATATCCATGTTAAATGATTATCAAATATTAATTGATATAGATCAATTTTTAAAAAAAGTAGATATTTAAGGAATAATTTCACCAGCTGTTCTGCTTATGTTATTATTCATCACCTTGCTATTTTCTCAACAATATAGTGAAGAATACACTAATAAGAATGGAGAAGGAACTGTTTCTTTAGACGCAATAACTTTCACAAATACATATGAACTCAGCCCACAAGACAATTAAAATCAATAATAGATTGACGTTGTGCTGAGACAACAAAGACAACTTCAAGTGCGAGATGTTAGGCTGCTAAGAGGAATAGACTGTGGCTCAGACCACTATTTATTAAAAACAAAGATAGCATATAAAGCTTAGAACCAACCAAATGTAAAAGAAAATAGAGACTTGAAGAAAAAAGAATAAGAAAACTGTTCCAACAAAGGTTAGATAAACAACTTGTAGATAAGAAATATGACAGTACACATGAACTTTGAGAAAATTTAAAACAAAGCACTGGGAATCAAGGAGAACTGAAAGTAAATGAAAAGAAATAATCTTATCTGAAGTGGACTTGTCCAAAGACAATGAAGAGCAAAAGGCATGTATTATGAAGAGAGAGAAATGGTGGATATAACAGAGAAGAGAAAAATAGAATTGAAAATGTAGAGAAATTTTACATGTATACAGTGTGCAGCAAAATTATGGAATAAATTCAATAAAACACTTATAAGCATTATTTTGCAAAAACGGTGAAACATGTCTATTTTGGTTTTTCAAAACATACATTTTGAGCCCATATTCACCCATATTCCAGATAGTCTTTTGTTTTTGAGTTATGACGTCATCAGCAAAAAAACACTTATATTCCGTAATAAAAAGAAATTGTTGATGACGTCATAACTTGAAAGCAAATGATTATCGGGAAGTGGACATGGACTCAAAATGTGTGTTTTGAAAAACCAAAAAAGGCTTGTTTCAATGTTTTTGCAAAATAATGTTTATAATCGTTTTATTGAATTTATGCCATAATTTTGCAGCACCTGTCTAAGAGGTAGAAGATGTATGAAAGCTTGGAAATGTATAAAAGGTATAAGATTTAAGAAGAAAATAACCTCCAACTCATTGGAGCTGACAAGTGGGCAGAATATTGCAGAAAGCTACTTATCAAAAATCAACCCACATAGACGAATTAATAGCCACAACCAATAAATATAGAAAGGGAGACACTGGAGATATAAGAGATGAAGAAATCAATTAAGAGATTAATAACTAAGAGATAAACTATTTACTATAATAAATTCCAAAAGAATGAAAATAAAAGAATAGGATTCGTGTCATACATGACAGTTACTGCTTCATTCAGCCGATTATATGGAAGAATTTTAAGGGATCTGATAGAACGAGAATATGAAGAACACGATACAGGAGAATAAACCGGATTCTGTGCCGATACAACGTGCATGGACAATATATTTGTCCTTAACAATAACCTAATTTTGACATCTCACAATCTGCTCCGTCGCATCTGAAACATAAGGGAGGGAGATAAGACCGGCTAATACAGTACTTAGCGTGTCTTCCCTCTGCTTGCGCTGTTTGGTGGCTCGCTGGATATGCCCCATAGTGTAGCTGAACTTCTAAAATACATCTTCTAGAAATCCTTCTTCATTCTTTAAATTCTTTTCTGAGCAGAAAGGATATTTTCTGCTCAGACTGTAGATATTTGTTCGTATCTGTCTTCTCTGATACACTCACAGTTCCAGTAAGGTAACTCTTTTTCAGCTTTCGTTACCATGGTAAATTTGTCATGGGATGTTGCGAGTTCAGGTGATGTAGGAATTCCTGAACTCGCTTTTTCAAACTTTTGTGAAACACGTAACGGAGCCGTAGCTTTGGTTTCCATGGACTCTTCCTTAACGCTTCTTCTTGAAATATTTCCATGTAAAAAGTGGCTATTGCCGGTGACAAAGGTGATCTTATGGCTGCCCCTACGAATTTCTCATAAAATTGTCTCTCCAACCCTGGAATATACTTCAGTAAGAATTCCGGGATGAATTTCTGGTGACGACCATCCATGACTTTTTAAGTGGTACTCTAATAAATAGAGATTCCATATCGAAACTTACCAGGATATCTTGGGAATCTAACTTCATACTGTTGTTTAATTCCATAAGATGCATAGCATCGCTGACATGATTCTGGAGACAAAATCTAAGCGAGATGTTTCGCCAGCTGAATTTATGCCACTGACAATAGATTTTAGGTAATCCATATATTGTTGGTGGTACTGGGGCCCGAACAAACAAACTTTTCTGTTGTTCCTCTGGAATTTCTGTGAATTTCACTAATTATCTTCTCGCTTGGATCCATCTTGTCGTCGTATTATTTCCTGCATATGACCACAGTTGCATTCCCTTTATCTGCTGGTAGGACGATGATGTCTGTTTTTTTCCTTTTATCATCCGCAGTGTCCTTCTTTCGTTAATTGTTAGATTTGATTTTGGTGGCTTCGCTGTTTTAAGAACTCTTGCTATATCCGGTCGAATTTTCTCTGCTTTCACTGCAGATATACTACGAATAGTTGCTTCCACTTCGCAGATGATTTCTCCCTTCGGAACTAAAAGTGGGTCAACTCGATTTATCAAACCGGGTTAACTCGAGTTGAGGTTATTTCAAGTCAATTCGAGTTAGACTGTTACTAACTCGAGTTAGGTTTACGCTATGCGCAACCACCACGTTAAATCAAACTGAAAATAACATTTTAATCGAACCGCCTTTGTCGCTACCACCGACTTCTTCATCTCTTTATGTTAAACCTCCAATAAAACGATTCAAGCAAACTCGCTTAACCGTACTATTTTCTGCAAATAATTTTGCAGAAATCTGAAGATGATGCGTTGATTCAATTGATAGTTCAGGATTACCAACCTTTACAAATTGTCGAAAATAAAGGTTTGCACAAACACATTTTCTAGAAGAAATAAAATTACAATCAATAGCTATTTCTACTTCGGAAATACAACATAATCATACAGCTGAAAATATAACAAATGTTATTCAACAAATATTGGATGAGTGGCAGATAAGTTCTAAAATAGTGACTATAGTTACAGACAATACAGCTTCAATGAAAAAAGCAGTTGGCGAAATTTGTTGCCCACACTCTTGATCTTGCTGTGATAGACTGTATAGAAAAAGATTAAATTAAAGGATTAAATTAGGAATTAAAGAATTAACTTAAAGATACTACCGCTAATACTAATTAGTTATTGCAAGTAATAAATAAATGTCGAGCGATTGTTTCACATTTTAAACATAGCACAAAATCTTCATATGCCTTGGTCGCCATGCAGAAGCAAATGAATTTGGATGTAATCAAATTAAAGCAAGATGTTCGCACTCGCTGGAACAGTACTTTTCATATGCTCGAACGCCTACTAAAGCTCAAAATTCCGCTTTCTGCTACTTTACCGACACTGGTATCAACTCCACCAAATCTGGATTTTTATGAGTGGTTATTTGCTAAAGACGTAGTGGCGTTCTTACATCCGTTTGAAAAGGTAACTGCAATTTTATCCAGGGAAAAGTATCCATCGCTATCATCTGTTATACCTCTTGTATTCCGTCTACGACATACCATAAATAGCAAAACTCCAATAACACAGAGAGGCAAGCACTTACAAAGAACTCTTGCTGTTATAATAGAGACGCGACTTGGGGTTTATGATATTAATAGAACAGTAGCAAAAGTTACTTTTCTTGATACACGATATAAAAAATCAGCATTTAGTTCAGCTGGTTCTACTTCTACTATTGAAGATGATACGTCCATTACAACTTATTCAGCAGCCACGATGATAAAACTATATATTGAATTACCATACATAGACAGAAAACAGATCCCCTCCAATTCTGGAGTAAAAAAAATGTCTATTTCCAAAGCTAGCTAAAATACTGCATAAATACCTCTGCATACCAGCGACTTCGGTGCCATACGAAAGACTGTTCTAAGGCGGGTATTTTTTATTGACTTACACATCCATCAATTCAAACCAGTGCGCGATTTGCGAATTTACAGATCTTAGATTTTTGCTACCAACTCGATTTCAACTCGGTTTACGCAAATTTTAAACTCGATTAACTCGGTTTGGCAAAAATCCGAGTTGGCTCATCGCTATTCAGAACCCCTTTCCAAGCGACTGCATAATTCAAGCTTTCTAGTTTCCTCCTGTGTTAATGGGTCGTTTGATCGGTTTCATACCACATTTTCGATGATTAAATAGTTGTTGTTCTTTTTGTGGGTGCGGCGAGCAAACGACTCAAATTTCTTAATTTGCTTCTACGTCAGGGCCGTCAGGGCGCAGCATTTGATGGCCATTCATGACAATATTCTCAATAAAGCTAATAATGCTGCTGTTTTTGTATAGTAGGACCGCGCTAAAATCTTCCTCATTTAATTCCTGCTTCTTCTATATTACAGATTTTATACTAGGAAATCCAGAAAAGGTAAAGTATGGAACATGAGCGTCAGAGAAAAACTGAGCTTGAGAGCTTTACTAGAAGAGATAGAAGAAAACACCTGAAATAGCTACCTGGCTCGAATGGTTGAGGAAAAAATAACAAAGAAAATGTTCAATATAAATCCAGATTGAAGAAAATGGTGGGAAAAACCTTGAATACAATGACGTTGAAAAGGGGAAAAGTGTTGCTGAATGACACGCCTACTGGAGATGAATCTGAGACCAACATCATGAAGTAGAATCACCACAAAACAAAGAAAAAGGTGATTTAATAAAGCAAGCATCATTTTTTATTAATAGACTCAACAATGCTTACACCCACTTAATCTTAATAATTTTCAACTTAATCTTAAACTTTGTCACATTTGTAACGAAACATCCTCTATAATAAACACTAATAATAATTTTCAATGATTTCAGATGATTATAAGTATACAACAAAATCGTGACATCAAAAAAATTTCAACAATACTTCTTAGTCAAACTGAAGAAATTGCAAATCGAAGAGAAAAATTTGTTTTATTAAAACATTTTATAAAGGCAATAGAAATTATTATGAACTCAAATCAAAATTATAATTTAGGTCAAAATATTTTATTAGGTTCTTGGATAAATCCATACATGAATAGCTGTACGTTTACAGATTTATGCAACCTTTTAGATACATTAACTTTATTAATTTTGCAAGTAGAAAATTCCGGGAAATGGTACGAATTTAAAACGGCTTTTATTGAATATGTTTTACCGGCGTTAAAACGGATTTCTGTTTCAAATACGGTTCCATCTCAAGTTGGTGAAATTGCAGGAAAGATTTGTTTAAACTCCCAAGAAATAATACACACTCAAATTCAATATTTTTGTAACCCGACAATTAATTCAAAAATAACTTATAGTTTTTTAATAACAATTTTGAGAAATAATACTTTTATAAACTTTTCTACTAACGAAGAAAATTTATTAATTTCTAGTTGGTTCAGAATTTGTATCCTAACTTCAGATGAATCTTACAAAGATTTATCGCCGTACATTTTTAATTTACCACCGATCCGAAATTGTTTAACTATAGAAAATTTCGAAAACGATCCTTATCCAGCTTTTGTAAAAGCTTTAAATGCACAAATGAATTTACAAGTAAATATATCACGATTAAAAGATATTTGTGAGGTTTGTTTTGGAAATATTGATCAATGGCTTATTACTCTTCTATCTCCTTACACCTCAGATACACAAATTACGTATTTATACACAACAATTTCGTTATTTTTTTATTTATGTTCTCCACTTTTATACCATAAATCAAAATCGACGTGTTTATTTAATCGATTAATTTCTTTGTTATTGTTACCAACGGAAATTTTAATGGGGAAACCACCTTCGACAAATATTTTAAAAGCAATAGAAAAAACTTGGCATCTTTTCCTTAAAGGAATTAATACTTTAAAAAGTCCGTCTCAATCTGACCCTTATATTGATCGAACATTCAAAGATTTAGTTATAAGATACATACCACATTTTTCTCCGACTAATTCACCCATTTTAAACATTTTAGATGATCAACAAATCACAACAATTGTTTTTGATAAAATTTCAACCGCGTATCTATTAAAATCAGCTAGAAGTTCGGAAGATAATACTCATAAAGCTTTGAAAACAATCCAAAATGTTTTAGAAAACACGAAAGATGTAGACAAAATCATTCTTATTTTAGAGAAAATTTCTTTGGGGATTTTAGAAGTAATCATGTTTTCAAACCAAAAAAATTTAGCGTTGGATGTTATAAAATCATTAATTTCTAACGGGTTCTATGAACAAGTACAGAATAAATTACAAATGGGTATTCAAACGGCAACAGATCGGCACTTAGCTTTTAGCACATCCAATTATTTTCAATTAATAGGTAATTTAATTAACATTGTTCCTTCTAGCGTTCGAATGACCTTACCACATATTAAAAAACAAATTTCGCATGTTGAAAAAATGAGATGTGTGGGTTTTGATAATGTTTTAAGACAAGGTTTAGATCGTATCGAAAAAGCTTTATCTTAATATATTAAGGATAATAAATTATTAGTTTATTGTATTCACTTAGTTGTATAAAATAAATGAATATTATAAACATTTTTTAATTTAATAAAACTGTTTGAGTTTTGCCACAACGTTAACTACAGCATTTACATTGGTGTTCTTTGATTTCCACGAGGCTTTCGATACAATTGAGCTAATGGTAGTTTTACAAGCACTTCAAGAATGAAGAGTCGATTATCGAAACTGACAAAAATGACTAAAATTACTGACCGAATTCCCATTAGACTACTGTAAGACAAGATGATGCCATGTCCCCCAAATTGTTCAACATAGTCCTAGAGAGTGCATTTAAACTGCTGAATTGGATAGCGATATTTCGGATAGCCTTGCAGAGATGAAACTGATGCTGAACGAATTAAAGGAAGTGTGTGGAAGAGTTGAGCTAGATATCAACATGGAGAAATTAAAATTTATTCTATTTCAACATTGGTGATAATCAGGTTGAGACATTTTCAAGGGCGATATTCCCATATATTTTATATTAAAAGAAAGGCTTTCAATTTGTCGGTTGTAACATACTGCTCTGAAACTTTGATATTAACGGTTGCCACTGCCAGGAAGCAACGCACAGAAAGATGGGAACCATGCCAGACAAAAGGAAGAAGAAGTCACTAAAGTTTCAGAAAGTTACAAACATTAAATGAGAAAAAAATGTATTCGATGCATGTAGATGTATTCTTAACGCAAAGTGCTAAGTTTATTAAAGAGGAACAGATGAAGAAAGTAACATTTAATAATCGGCAACAGATGGGAAATGCAAATTCTGTACTAAATGCAATAATAAGTATTGGATAAATTAAGAATAATAATTAAATATATAAAATGTTCAAGAGATAAAATTTGCGGGAATATGAAAAAATATAGAACACAATAACATCTTCTGGAAAATTGAAATATTGGAAAATACAAAGTTAACGTAAGAGATCTGTTTCTCTCTTAGATAGAACGCAAAATCTGTTGAAAATCTAAATACTAATAACACTCTATTTCATGACCTGTTTCATTTCTATGTTCAGTTCGAATATCTAAAAAGTATTATTATTAGATCGTTATGAAAACAAAAAATATTAAGGGTGGGTTAAATATTTTCTAGAACTAGAATTCTGTATGGAGCTGTTCAAAGAAGCGGCTTTACAAACCAATCCTTGGAAATCAAAGCTATGGCTACGATGCGTGGGTGACAGTTTTGTCATCTGATAACGTGACTAAAAAAGGCTTAAGGCTGACTTAATTTATTTAAATTTCCAACATACAACGATAAAGTTCGCCATGGAGGAACAACACGACAACAACCTACCATTCAGACAGGCGAAGAGTGTGATAACTCCGCCGTGAAAAAACCAAGCAGGTTTTATGCCTTAGCAAAGGGCACTTAAGGTTGCTCTCAGGTTTGTTGAGACAATTCATGAATGCAACTTATACCTACAACCTTCACATCATCACCCACAACAAAAGATGTCCGTAATTTGCACTCTATTCCAATTGATTATATTACGGCGAAAGCTTGAAGAATAAGAATAAAGAACAACTTCGAAAAAGAAATAGTCGAAGCACCAAACCGAAGAAACAACAGATAACAGATACAGTAAGTAGTCAACCTATTAGCCAGCCAGGTATGCACCTAACTACGGAATGCATTACCGAGCCCAAAGGAATTACCTTCGTCAGATGTCTGATAAATGGCCAGAAGCCTGCAATCAAAAATACTTGCCAGAAACATCCAGAATTGCCTGAGAATGACCAGATAGGTTATAGAAATGTAAAGCCTTAAGAATAAGTTCACTATCACACTTTTGAATATGCTTCTGTAGAATGTTGTAACATGGCATCCGAAATATCAAAAGATATGTATTTTTCTAATTTATCTTTTATTTCTAATGATTTTAGTGAATAACTCCTAATATCATAGGAAATTGTCAGGACTAACGTAAAAATCGCATAATCTACTGTCAAGTTGTTGAATTGCACTATCGGACCTTGAATTGATTTTCATTATGGAATAGATTTGTTTATTTTGTTTCTTCATATGCCATTTCTGCCTTTTGGCGTTATGTTGGGTTGCTAATACCTTGATTGATGTTAACCGCCCAATATATTTCATGGTCTCTAATTGCCATTATGAACCGTTATTGAGTATAAGTATTATATCATCATGCTTTCAATTATGATATCCTAGCCATGTTTTTCTAGTTTAGCTTTTTTGATTAGACTGTTAAAACAGGGTGTTAAAAAATAATGTAAAATATTTAAAGAGGTAATAGTATGGACGAATATAAACAAAAAAAGTCTTAATAAACATGGGTCCGCAAATAAAAGGTTTCGGAGGTGTGGAAGGTATGAAAAAATAATAACTTTTTTGAAAAAAATTATAATGTACAAACAAACACAAGAAGTTTCTAACAAAAAATAAAGTTAAATAAGATGTTCAAAATGTTCTCCTTCCTTATCCAAACACCACATCTTCCTCTGAAGGATAATCGAACTATTTCTAAAATTTCCTCATTGGTTCCAATTTGTTGGCATTGTTTGTTAATTCGTAGCTGCAGCTCCTCGAGAGTATTCACTGTAGTACCATAGACTAATGTATTCAAATATCCCCAAAGAAGAAGAAGTCTAGAGGGTTTAAGTCAGCCAATCTTGCAGGTCATAGTACAGGTCCGCCCTTCCTATCCATCTATGTGAGCAAGTTTGATTTAAATGTGCTCCAATCGAAAAATGAAGTGGAGCACCATCATGCTGGAACATTTGTTGCTGTTGATCTAAGGGAATGTCATCAAAAAGATTAATCATTGTGTTCTGCAGAACATTTAGATAAGCAGTGCCTGTTAATCAGTTTGGTAAAACAACCGGACCTAAAAACCAGTCGCCTACAATGCCCATCCAAATATTTAATGAAAAACGTGTCTGATGTCCAGATTCCATTATTCCATGAGGATTTTCGTTGGCCCAAACATGCATATTGTGAAAATTAACAACTCCATTCCGTGTATAGAATTCTACCAATTGGGTTTTTTGACCATTTACTCCAACTAACTTCTTGTTGTTTCTCTTATTTATCCATATCAGCTTGTGATTGGTTTGTAATTCTTCAAGTGTTTCCCATATATTGTATTTGGTCTTGCAGCTTTAAGATCTAAGAGAACCACAAATATTTTCCTTGCTTTATCAATTCTCTTTTATATTATGTTTATGATTATAAAAATGTGAATCTGTATTTAGTTGCCAAGACAGGAAGACGCTTATTCAGCCACTAATTTGTTTTGGATTTCATTTCCTAATGTTTTCATATGCTCTATATATGCATACTGCTGTATAATTATCACAGAGTCTCTCCTTTCTTTATGTAGGCATAATAATGTTTAGGTATCTCAATAACTATTAGAATATTGTCTTGAGCTATTTGGGATTGGTTTTCATCCATTTTTCAATATTTCTGGTGCAATGTTATCTTCTCCAGCAGCTTTTCTATTTCATATAGATGTAGAACTTGTTTTATGTGTTCTTCAATAATATCATTAATTCCATTCTCTTATTCTGTGTCAGTTTATCTACCGTAGTATTCCCCCTTTTGGCACCTTCTCTCTACTTAATTTTCTCTTTCACTTGTTAGTGCTTTCAATATATTCAATTCTTTAGCTTGTTTCTCGCTTACTTCTTTTGTTCTATACTTCTTTCTTTAAGAGTGTTGCTCAGTCTCCCCTATTATTAATTTCTTCCTTTACTCCTTGGGAGTAGACCATTGTTAACACTTATAATAATATAACACTTCTTCATAGAAGTATTCCTTATGAATTAAGATAACTTGTTCTGTTAACTGATATATTCCTAGAACTATTACATTTTCTTATTGCAGTTATTACAGTTGTTATTCTAAAATTATGAGCTTCTAGCTCATTGGTATTCCAGCAAATCTAATTACTACTATTGCAATAAAATCATCTATAAAATACTTTGAGTATTCTTATTAACCTGACTTCATACAAGTGGATTATATTACTAATAAACTAATAATACTAATAAAATTAAATTTATGTATGTAGAAAGTTCGATCTCTGTCACTTTGTGTCCTGCCTCCTAGCACTTTTAATATCTTGTACTGTTCTCATACAATACCAAGGTACACCTGCAAAAACAAAATAATGGTATTAACAAATTTTATTAACACTATTGGGTGTTGCATTTTAGATATTTATGTATGTGATTATAGTATTAGACATATCTGTATCAAAAATTTAAAGATTATTTAAACATAGTCTAATTGAAAAAATACATACAAGTATTGAATAAAATAGCTGCAAAACATTTTGAGTGTATTTTGAACTAAAAGGTTGTCTAAATAAAACCAAAGAGAGAGCTACTAAAGTTTGAGGACTACAAATAGATTAATTCACTTAATTCCATTAAATAGAGATGAATTAAAGATGAATGAAGTTTAATTGTTTAATTTATTAGCAAAAATTGGATTAAATCTGGAATGTTATTAAACATAAAAAAAATTAAAACCTAAATGTTGGTAGTGTATAAGTTATAAAAGACAACTGATAAAAAATAACAATTAAATAACAAACTATTTATTTAAATAAGCAGCAATGTTTGAAAGCTGAAGCGTCCTGACCTGCATTCTGAAGGAAATTTTCTTATCTGTATAAACAATTACAGAGGAAAAGTTGCTTGCATTTTGTTTGAATATGTTGTGTTTAAAATTTGGCAACACATGTTGCCTCAATTCGTGATTAGATAATTGGAAAGTAAACGCTATTACCTTTAAAAACCTGAGTAAAAGATTCTGGTTTGTTTAACATATCTCTCAATAATGTTGTTTTATTTTAATAATTTTTCTTTTACACTCTGTGCAGACATCGTTTGGATGGTTTGGATATAATAACTATTAGGTAAATTGAACACATAACAACCACGCATGCGCCTTATTTGAATTTGTCAACGGTCATTTTTGACAAGTGCACTTCAAACTCGTTTATTTGCATGAAATTCACCTTTACAAAATTATCATACAATTCTAGTAAGTTTTCTTTACTAACTTTTTACTAAAGAAGCTGTAGATACTAGTGTATAAATAATTTTTAAGATATTTCTTGTGTCATACTTTAAATTTCGAAAACTCTCATTATCTGTTTTAGAGAAAAATTTTATTTGGGATTAAATAAACTTCCTCGAGATCGAAAACTTCAATATTTAAAGTACCTACAATAATGTCTGAAGTTGAATTCACTGATATATCACCCGCATTAAGTCACAATTTAAAAGGTCATAAGAAAGATATAACTCAATTATGTTTTAATCCCAATGAACAACAATTAGTGAGCAGTAGTTTTGATCACAGTTTAATGTTATGGAATTTATCATCACCTTCACAAAGATGTTATAAATTTGCTGGTCACACAGGAAATGTAAACTGTGTACAATTCTCGAACAGCGGAAAACTTGTTGCTTCTGGATCAAGTGATCAAACTGTAAGAATATGGGTTGCCAAATTAAGAGGGTCTAGCAATGAATTTAGAGCACATAGCTCAGCTGTAAATTCAGTTATGTTTTCACCAAGTGATGATAAAGTAAGTATTAAACAAATTTAAATAAAACTGGTGTATGAATCATGTGTTGTTGTTTTTAAGATTTTAACAGGATCAAACGATAAGTCAATAAAGTTATGGGACACAAAAACAAGGATTTTTACATCATCGTTCATCGGCCATACGAATTGGGTGAAATGCGCAAAATTTGCAAGGGATGAAACATTTATTGCCTCATGTGGTGATGACAAAACTTTAAGAATATGGGATATTAACAGTGGACAATGTGTTTCTACATTCACTCCAAACGGAAATGTTAATCATTTAGCAATTCACTCAAATTGCACCGCAGTAGCAATTGGTTCAAGTAGAGGTTCTGTTCGTATATACGATCTTAGAGCAAAAAAGTTACAGCAACATTATATGTTACATGATAATGTAATGTGTGTTGATTGGCATCCTTTTGCTAATTATTTATTAACAAGTGGAGGAGATGGAACAATGAAAATTGTTGATATTATGGAAGGAAAACCTTTATATACTTTAGAAGGACACAATATGGGTGTTAAAACAGCGGTTTTTTCAAAAAGTGGAGATATGTTTGCTTCAGGAGGATTTGATAAACATGTGATGGTAAATTATATGATTGGAAGTTGGAAGTTTTAATGAAATTAATTAAATTCCTTTTTTTAGGTTTGGAAAACGAATTTTTTATCCCTAAAATCCAGCCCTTCAACCTCATCTACTGATTCTTTAAGTTAATATCTATGCTAGGATGCTTACTTTAATTTAAATTTAATATTAATGAGTTATTAACCTGATTTACATATATTTATATTAATTCATAAGTAATATTATGTATTCCTCACTATTTTACTATTTACTCTATAATAAAGAAGTTAATTAAAATCGTCTACTTATCCATAAAGTTTATATTTTCCTTTATTTATAAAATTTAATTAACTATTTAAACCAACAACAGAGGTCGTTGCAATCAGTTTGTTTTGACAACTTTGACGTATAAGATTCTAACCTCAAATAAAATTTATCAATACTCAAATCTGTATTTTAAATAAAGCTTATATTAATTTACTTTGTTTAATTAATTTTAAAATGAGTAAGAAAATCGTCTTCGGAAAAATCTGCGCGAACTTCGTGCAAAATTCTTCAAACATCGAAGCGACGGTATCTTTTGAAACATTTGGGCCCCCGGCGGTCAATTCAATACAAAACGAATCCCTCGAAGATGACAGCGAATTAAAGAAGATGAAAGTCGTTATGAGGATTACCACATTTTGAAGAAAAGCAAAGTTTTAATTATAATTAGTTAAATCAACTACAGAGGTCACTACAATCAGTTTGTTTTAACAACTTTGACGTATAAAGTTCTAACCTCAAATAAAATTAATTTATCAGTATTCAAATCCGTGTTTTAAATAAAGCTTATATTAATTTACTTTGTTTAATTAATTTTAAAATGAGTAAGAAAATCGTATTCAGAAAAATTTGCGCAAACCTTGCGTAAAACTCTTCAAACGTTAAAGCGACGGGATTTTTTGGAACATTTGGGCCTCCGGCGGTCAATTCAATACAAAACGAGTCCCTCGAAGATGACACCGAATTAAAGTCCATGAAAGACGTTATGGGGATCACCACATTTTGAAGAAAAGCAAAAACTTTTAATTATAATTATTTAAATCAACAACAGAGGTCACTACAATCAGTTTGTTTTGACAACTTTGACGTATAAAGTTCTAACCTCAAATAAAATTAATTTATCAATACTCAAATCCGTATTTTAAATAAAGCTTATATTAATTTACTTTGTTTAATTGATTTTAAAATGAGTAAGAAAATCGTCTTCGGAAAAATCTGCGCGAACTTCGTGCAAAATTCTTCAAACATCGAAGCGACGGGATCTTTTGGAACATTTGGGCCCCCGGCGGTCAATTCAATACAAAACGAGTCCCTCGAAGATGACACCGAATTAAAGAAGATGAAAGACGTTATGGGGATCACCACATTTGGAAGAAAAGCAAAAACTTTTGATGTCCAAGTAATATTTTCCTCAGTTTATATTTTAGCAATTTAAATTTGATTTTTATTCAAACAGGAAATGGTTCATGAAGTTACAAAGACTGCTAGAGAAATGACTAAACTTTCTACAGAAACATTATTAAACAGTTTATCTAATAATGAAGATGACGATGATGAAGAGGAAGAAGATGATGATGATATAATTGGACCCCCTATACCTAAAGGTTTTTATTAAAATTAATTTTATTAAATTAATTTGATAAATAAATAATAATATTTAATTTATAGATTTTTTACCCCCTCCACCTGATAAACAAACAAAATCAAATGATCTACAAGATAATTTAAGTAGTGATGATGAAGAAGATCAAAAAGATGATTTATTTATGCCATTAACACATGAAGCATCAATGAAACATGGTACCAAAGCAATAACAGCAATGTGTGTTGATCCAAGTGGAGCTCGATTAGCATCAGGATCAGTTGATTATGACGTATGTTTTTGGGATTTTGCTGGAATGGATTCGTCGATGCGAAGTTTCCGAACGCTTCAACCCTGTGATAACCACCCAATTAGAGGGTTACATTATTCTGGAACTGGTGATTTACTCCTAGTAATTTCCGGAGCGGGACAAGCCAAAGTCTTAGACCGAGATGGTTTTGAACAAATTGAAACAGTTAAAGGGGACATGTACATTACAGATCAAGCAAGAACTAAAGGACACACCGCAGGTTTATTAGCTGGGGGATGGAACCCTACTAATAGAGATGAATTTTTAACTACATCCAGTGATGGTACAGCTCGTTTATGGGACATTATGAAAGGTGGAAAAGAACATAAATCAATTGTTAAATGCCGCGCTCAAAATGGATTAAAAGTATCTCCCACAGCTTGTTCTTATCATCATGATGGAAGATCTTTTGCGCTAGGTTGTGCAGATGGATCACTACAACTTTGGGATTTAAGAAAAAGTACTGTTGCTCCAGCTTTACAATTGAGAAAAGCTCACCAACCAGTTGAAATAACCAGCGTTGGTTACTCACACATTGGAAGTCAATTAGTAACAAGAAGTTGTGATGACACAATGAAATTATGGGATTTAAGAAATTTTAAAAAATCAATTCACGAAGTTGGGGATTTATACACAAGATATGATACTACAGATGCTATTTTTGGGCCTAATGATAAAGTTGTAGTTACAGCAACGTCTGCGAAGAAAGGTGAACCTTTTGGACACGTTTTATTTTATAAAAGCGAAGGTTTAACTTTATTAGAAGATGCAAAAATCGAATCACACGTTGTTAAAGTTTTGTGGCATCCAAAATTAAATCAAGTGTTTGCTGGAAACGGAACAGGAATCATTAAATGTTATTATGATGATAAACGTAGTCTTCGAGGTGCAACACTCTGCGCGAGTAAACGACAAAGAAAAGTACAACAAGCGGAAATTGTTAGTTCTCAACAAGTTATAACGCCTCATGCTTTACCATTATTTAGGCAAGAAAGGCGAAAAACGAGTCGTAAACAAATGGAAAAGGATCGATTGGACCCTGTTAAATCAAAAAGACCAGATTTACCTATTACATCAGGTCAAGGTGGGCGTGTTGCTTCCAGTGGTGGTACTCTTAGTAGTTATGTTATAAGAAATCTAGGATTAAGTAAACGAGTCGATGATGATCAAGATCCAAGAGAAGCTATTTTAAAGTATGCTAAAGAAGCTGAAGAAAATCCTTATTGGATTACACCTGCTTATAAAAAGACACAACCTGTTGCTATTTTAAGTTCGAATGCGCAAGAGGATGAACCTAGCATTAAAAAACCTAAAGTTGAATAATTAATTAAAATATAGCATAGTTGTGATGTTTAAATTTTAAAACTAATATTTGAATGTTTAGGAAAGTAAAAAATACTTAATGAATCGGACTTTTATTTAAATTACAAAGAATTCGACTTAGTTGCAAGGAATTTAATATAATGAGTTTTATTTAGTCTCATTAAAATTAATTTAAAATTGCCGCCAAATTTAGTTTTTAATTGTCCAATCAAAACAAAGCAACGCATCCATTACCAACGTATAAAAACAAATTTTCCCTAAAAGTGTTTTTTTCAGTGATCGTCAATATGGCCGTGTGGAGGTACGTACTTTTATTTAAAACTTTATTTAATTTATTTTTTTTACAAATATTGTCTTTAATTTATTAGAAAACGCAACATTAACGTATTGTAGTTAAAATATTTAAAAAAATTAATTTTATAGGGGTTTTTATCAAGTAAGCCGGTATTTTGTAGGTTAACTTGTCAAATTATTTTTTCATTTATTAATGATTTAAACTCTTTGTCACATTAACTCTTTAAAAAACTAGTTTTGTTGCAAAATTTACATTACCTTATTATTATCGAATCGATACAACGGACTGATAATGAATTATGTATAAAAACAGTTGTAAACATAAAAATACATTTATGTTTAACATAATTATTTAATTTAACATTTCTAATGCCAGGTATTCAATTTATTTATTTAGATTTATTACACGGATTCTACCATTGGTACTCTTTGTTGGAGCTGTAGACAAAGGAAATTTTAAGACATGCGATCAAAGCAGCTTTTGCAGAAGACTTAGGAATATCTCCATCGATAATTCTAAATATGTATTAGACCTAGAAGCTTTAAAAGTCTATGATAATGTTGTTGAAGCCCAGTTAAAGAATACCGAAGCAGATGTTACCTTCAAATTTTCATTGCAAGCACTTGCCGGTGATACCTTTAGAATGCAAGTTGATGAAATCCAGCCTTTACATCCTCGTTATAAGGTTGAAGTAGCTTTAGAAAAAGATCCTGAACCGAAAAAGTATGTTTCTTGTTGATTTGATTATGATTAAAAAAATAAATTATGTTTTTTTTTTTAGGATTGAATTGTTAGATAGAAATAATGAACAGGTATCAATTAAAGCTGGTAATAATAAAGTTATTTTGAAATCAAATCCTTTCAAAGCTGAATTTTATGAAAATGACCAAATTGCTGCGATAGTTAATTCTAGAGGATTGTTTCAAATTGAACATCTCCGTGCAAAACCAGCAGAGTAAGTTTATGTATTTTATAAATCATTGAAATATGATGAAAAATGCTTTATTTAATCATCTATCTTTAAAACATTACTAAAGTTTCATATTTATGTCTTATTTGAGTTAAGACATTTGATTTATGTCTTTTTTTTCTAAACCTTTTACTGAAAATAAATAATTTCTTGCAAGTTTTTTGGGGTACACTCTGAGTTAACTATTACACTGGTTCACAATATGATATTTATTATATATTAGTATATCTTGCAAATGTCCTTATTTGGTCCTTATTTTTTGTGGCGAAGGTTATCATTAGATACTGGTTGTAATGATTTAAATAATCATGAAGTGTTGCCAAATGACAAAAATGTTATCTATGGATTGTAAACATAACTGTTTCCAAATCTGCATCTTCAAGCAATACCATATAGAAGTTGGTGGTAACTAGTATAAGTAGCACTTATGGCTGCTCACTCATTTAGGTGTGAGGAAGACACAATTCACTTCTTTAGGAGGAACGCACGTGTCCTAAACAACACTGGTTATGAGTTTTCATCATAAATTCAAATTGTTGATTCTGATCATTGAATGCTTGTGATACAACTAAAATTATGTGAAAAAAATGATATGCATTAAAATTGGCATAAGAAGAGGCAAGACAGGTTGTTATTTTGTTGCCTTCCACTTGTGATGCGCGATTAGAAGAAACGGTTGTCACAAAATTTAGTGAGTGATAAGAAAAATTGAGAATTCCTTTTGCCAGTTGTTAAATTGTACACAAAAAACATGGAAAGTCTGAACAAGGCAAAGCAGTTTGAAGAATGTTATCAAAAATTTTATTTCATAGTAACTGGTCAACAGTTGCATTAAGTATACCCTGTGTACACAAAGTAAGGAATAAATTTAATTAAAATACAGGAAACATTCTGGAACTTCTATGTTACTTTTTTAACGCGCGCTTTTTAGATGAAATAGAAATGTACAGGAGTCCCAAAATTGAGATACCCCTAAGCTGAAATTTTTAAATTAGAAGTACATTATGTACACAGTGTGTATGATCAGACCTATTAACCCATATCTCATGCTCAATGCACTCAACATTTAGAACATACTTAGAAACATATTTAAAGCTTTAACAAACTAACCATGTATCCAACAACGTTCTCATCATGACTGGCACAAAAGACGACTTATCGCTTATTTCAGTTTGCAATAGGCAATAGACTAGTAATAGCTAATACGACGATTATCAACACGAACAAGCAAAAAATTCAAAAATCAAATTAATTATAGTGGTCTGAAGCAGATGGAGAGCGTTAATAAGAAATATATATATGCGGTTTGGACCATAATATCCTACTAACCACCTTAGCTCTAAAATTACAAACGTCCAAGAAGCAAAGTCCAATCAAAAAAATTAATGTGTCAGTGACTGAGCAGCTGCAAAATCAGCTAGAAACAATACCAAAACCAGAATACAGGGTTTCCACAACACATTATGGAACAATACTAAAACTAGAAACTAAATAGTTAATTTTAATAACTAAACTTTTTCTTGTCAATTCGGCGTGGCAAGAAACCTGCTGGTTCTACTGTCACAGATATTATTTATTTATTTAGACTAATTTAAAGTATGACATTTCTTTTCAAGAAATGAATAAGTACGTCCATAATCTAAAATTTTATATCCTATTCAGCTAGCATTCAAGAGCTGCGTTAAGATAAGATCTAATAGGGCAATCCTCCACAATATGCTGGATACATTGGAGTTCCACAATGACAATGAAACGATAGTAGAACTCCTTATTTGTAGAGGCTATTACCACAAATTCCATATTCCGTGTGTACTCTGTTAAGGCTGTTCTATAGGTAGTGGGCTTTTGATTCTAGTCTTTTTCCCACTTAGAGTTGATGTAGTTGTTTTTAGTCATTTCCTCAACAAGATTTAATGGCGGGTATCTCTCAAGACGGCTAAACCCAAATGTTTTTCTAGTTCTAGGTTTAGTGTTGGTTTTGTAAAAATATACAACAATCTAGCGCCGAATAACAGTTAACTACAACTAAACCTAAAACTAGTAAGTCTAGTTTTAGTTCCTAATGATAGTGCTAGTGTTAGTTCTACTTTTAATTTAATAAAATGCATTTGTTACATATTTGTTCTGGGGAAATCATAGGCAGTCTGTATTCATTTACAGCAGCGGTGGTGTCCACTAATTTTTGATCAAGATCGACTTTTTATATAAATGTTTTGCCAAGATCGACCGAAGGGTTTAAAGTAACCATCCTTTTTTTTGCTCTGAGGCTCAGATATAGATATTTCAGATTCATGATTTTCTTGACGATCGACGTTATGGCCACCACTGATTTAGAGCTTATAAATAAAAAATAGTAATATTTACCATTATAAAGTTTTATGTATAAAAAGTATTTCTCCATCGCATTTAGTTTTTGAGTTATAATTGAGTTAATTTTCGAAAATCAACAATTTTGATGTTTAATCGATTTAGAGCTTATAAATAAAAAATGGTAATAATTGGGTTCAATCTTGTTATGGATCTAGTCTTTATGGCCCATTACTAAGGTTTTATGTATAAAAAGTATTTCCCCATCGCTTTTAGTTTTTGAGTTATGATTGAGTTAATTTTCTAAAATCAACAATTTTGATGTTTAATCGGTATAGAGCTTATAAATAAAAATGGTAATAATTGGGTTCAAAGTTTTTATGGATATAGTCTTGATGGTCCATTACTAAGGTTTTATGTATAAAAAATATTTCCCCATCGCTTTTAGTTTTTGAGTTATGATTGAGTTAATTTTCGAAAATCAACAATTTTGACGTTTAATCGATTTAGAGCAGTTTAAAGTAACCTTCCTTTTTTTTTTTGTTCTGAGGCCCGTATAATGTATCGACGTAAATCTTTTAAATGCCTGTTGTTTGTTGTAGTGCACCTAATATTGCTAAATTTAAATTACCTAGTTCTGAAAACCACTTATTGACTCTTAATTTGGTTCTTCTTGACTTTTGTTTCTTTCATTGTTTTCTGTCTGTTTCTTTGGCATTACATTGTAACTGATGTTTCGGTTCATTTTTAAACTAATTTAATTTTTATTTTTTATTACATTTATATTAACAGCCAGTTTGGCCTGTTCTACGATATTGTTTACTGCAATAACATAATTAATTTTATGTTTCTGTTCTATAAAGTTTTTTTTAATTATGTTTATTTTTTAATAAACGTACAGTACACGATACACAAAAATACAGTGGGTCGGTCATACTAATGAGGGTGTTCATAGAAACGAGGGTGTAATTAAATAAATTAAGTTTATTACTTACACCTAAATCAGTTATTCATGAACATTCTTAAGACTTAAAAAATCTGTAATTTTTTTCTGAATATTTTTTGAGTAATTTTGGCCATAACTGCTTTTCCTTGAATTGTTTCCAATTTTGAATTTTGATTTGACCGTTCTATAGCAACATTAAATGCTTTAATTGCATCGGAATGGTAATTTTTTTTCAGTGCACTCATTTTCATCTTCATCTGAAGAAGACATTTCCACATCTGCTGCCTCATCCTTGTCCAAATGTTACACATTTACAGCAGTGTAGTCACCCTAAAATGTGCAGTTTATGATTCTGCCATCGACTGCTAAAACCACTCATGCATTAACTTACTGGAGCTACTTCCTGTAGTAAATATATTGTATCCCTAATAGCATGAAGAACTAAAGTTTTTTTCACATCTTAATTTTTCCCTTACTTAGCGGAATGTTATCTTCGTCTGCATCCTCATTATGTTGATTAAAATCTGAGAGGATGTTTCTCCAAGTCTTCTTGATTATTGTTGAGCTAAGTTTCTTCCACTCCACACAAAAATGTATGACTGCATCTTTTAGTGAAATCTTACTGAGTGCTGCAACTATTCCTTCTTCCGTTGATACAACAGAACTGAGCAAACTGTTTCTTTAGTAAAGTTTGGTGAGCCTTAAAATATTTTGGTCCATGGGTTGTATTAAAGACGTAACATTAGGAGATAAGAATTTTACAAATATCATCCCATCTTTAGTCCTCAGTTCTGTTGCTGGTGGATGGGACGGTGCGTTATCCACAAGGAGAATTCCTTTCTGAGCTAACTCCTGAGCACGCCTACGAATTGTGTAATATAATTTTGAAATATGATCAGTCTTATGAACCAAATGGCAGATAATTTTAACTCTTACTTCAGGTACAAAATGTTGAAAAAAGGTCATCCACGCCTTCTTAGTGCGTTTGTACAGCAATGGGTTGTTAAAATTCCTAAAACATCTTTGATTTTTTGATTTCCCCAGCATTTACACAATCCATAAACGTCAGTCGTTGCTTCGAAATTTTTAATCCAGCAGTTTTTTCTGGTAATCAGACATATGTTTTGTCAGGCAATAAGCGCCAATACAATCATGTCTCATCAGCATTATAAATCTGATGCCGCTTTAGGTCATGCTCTTGAATCATACGTTTTAGATACTCTTTAAAAGGGTCTACTTCATCTGGGTTAGCCGATAATTTCTCCCCTGCGATTTTCAAAAACCTTAAGCTACGGCGGTGTTTAAATCTTTGCAGCTAACCATCACTGGCCGTGAAAGTATCAATATTCAATTGTTGTTTTGATAATGACAATGCCTTTAGTTTCAGCATATTTCCAGAAATTCGTGAATTCTTTTGTCTTTCTTTAGGAAACCAATTGTACAATTTCTCTTCTAAAGGTGGAAATGCTGTCTTTTTCAAGGTGCACTTTTTGATGGTTTTAGCGTGAGTTGCAGTCATTTTTTTATACCACAAATTGTTGATTTTGAAACTCCGTACTTTTTATAACGTCGTGACTGACATTCCTCTTTTACCTTCTTCGATTATATTAGCTTTTTCTCTTAAACTCAAAAAAATACTCTGTGGTAATGTATGTTTTTTTTGAGGTACATTTAATTGCATATAACTCAATTAACATTTCTAACTTCTCATTTTAGTCAACTTCCATTTTAGCAATCTTGTGCCCAATTAATAAAGAATTTGTTGTCTAAAAGCAATTTTTGCTGAATGTCTTGAAGGTTGCGTACTTATTCCAAACTATTCTATTATTAAAAAAATATTCTAAAAAATGCTTAAGCCAATTATTAATACTTAATTAATTATTTAGAGGAACTGAAGTTGAAGGTCAAGATCCTGGCGCTTGGGAAGAAAACTTCAAATCACACCAAGATAGCAAACCTAGAGGTCCAGAAGCAGTTGGTGTTGACATTACATTCCCCGGAGCTCTTAGAGCTTATGGTATCCCAGAACACGCTGATAAATTCGCTTTAAGAACAACCGGAAAAGGTGGTTTAGAACCTTACAGATTATACAATTTAGATGTATTCGAATATGAACTTGATTCTACTATGGCAATTTATGGAAGTGTTCCTGTTCTTTATGGACATGGGTAAATTATATTAAAATTTTATTCTACTTACTTACTAATGATTATTTTGGTTTAGTCCTGAACATACAGTCGGAGTATTTTGGTTAAATTCTGCTGAAACTTGGGTAGATATAAATAATAGTAAAGATGCAAATGTAGTTTCTTCGTTAGTAAATTTAATGTCTGGTACAAAAACGGAATCACGCGTTGATGTTCATTTTATGAGTGAAAGTGGGATAGTTGATTTATTTATTTTAATGGGTCCAACGTTTGGCGATGCAATCCGACAATACGCGACCTTAACCGGCGTAGCCCCTTTACCACAATACAACACATTGGGTTACCATCAATGTCGTTGGAATTACAACGACGAAGAAGACGTTAAAATGGTCATTGAAAATATGGATATTCATGATTTCCCGGTTGATTACATTTGGTTAGATATTGAATACACTGATGGCAAAAAATATTTTACATGGGATCCGATTCGGTTTCCACATCCATTAGAAATGCAAGCAAATTTAACGAAAACCGGAAGACGTCTTATTACGATTATTGATCCCCATATTAAACGGGAAAGTGGGTATTTTGTTCATGAGGAAGCTTTAGCTAATGGATACTATATTAAAAATAAAGATGGAAATGTTTATGAGGGTTGGTGTTGGCCTGGATCTAGTAGTTATATGGACGTTTTTAATCCCGTTGTTCAAGACTATTTTGCCGATCTTTATTCGTTTGAGAGATTTAAGGGTTCATCCGACGCTTTGTACATTTGGAACGATATGAACGAACCTTCAGTTTTTAATGGACCTGAAATTACTATGCCAAAAGATTTGTTACATTATGGTGGATGGGAACATAGACATTTACATAACATTCATAGCTTATACACGGTAAATTTAATTTAATTTAAATTTTTTATGTTTATTTTACTATTTAATGTGTTACAGAATTTAATAACATACAATGGATTAATGAAACGCACCCCTAATAAACGTCCTTTTACTTTAACTCGAGCTCATTTTGCTGGTACGCAACGATACGCTGCCATTTGGACGGGTGATAACGCCGCGGAATGGTCTCATTTAGTTGCTAGTATTCCAATGTGTCTCTCAGAAGCTGTAGCTGGAATCAGTTTTTGTGGAGCAGATATAGGTGGATTTTTCCACAATCCCGATCAAGAATTATTACTCAGATGGTATCAGGTGAGTGAAAAAGCTTAAAACTTCATCAATAAATCTAAAAACCGTTTTTTGATTAATTTAGGCTGCTGCTTGGCTTCCATTTGTTAGAGCTCACGCTCATATTGATACTAAAAGACGAGAACCTTATTTATATAGTGAAGATGTTCAAAGGCGCATCAGATCTGCTTTAAGGCAAAGATATGCGCATATTCCGTTATGGTATACTCTATTTTGGGAACATTCAATTACTGGGGATCCGGTTATTAGACCGTTGGTTTATCATTATCCTAAAGATGTTAATGTTGTAGATATTGAAAGTCAATTATTAATTGGTAAATTAAAATTGGAAGTTATCTTGAAATTACTTAGTTTTTTAATTTGTTATTAGGTAACTCAGTTATGGCTCGACCAGTAACTGAAAGCCAAGCTACAAATGTAAACATTTATTTTCCTGGTGGGCCTACTGAAATATGGTATGATATTGAAGATTATAGAGCTTTTACTGGTCAAGGAAATGTTAATTTACCAGTTTCTTTAGATAAAGTAAATATTTTAATAAAAATTTGTTATTTTTTTAACACATTTTTTTAGGTTCCTGTATTTTATAAAGGAGGAAGTATTATTCCTAGAAAAGATCGTCCAAGAAGAGCATCAACACTTATGCACGATGATCCATTCACTATTTACGTAGCTTTAGATTCAAACGTAATTTTATTAAATATACGCTTTGATTTTTATATTAATTAGTATTATTTTTTTTATAGAAATCTGCAACTGGAACTTTATACGTTGATGATTATGAAACTTTTGGGTATAAAAATAAAGAGTTTTTGTATATAAGATTTGATTATAAAGACAATACTCTTACAAGCACGTAAGTTTTATACAAATTTTTAGTTTACACCATTTTGATTAATATATTATCGTTATAGCTTTATTAATAAGGATGCTAGTTATCCTACTAAAGAATGGATAGAGCGTGTTGTTATTATTGGTGCACCGAAAACTATTAAGCACGCAAAATTAGTCAGCAAAGGTTTAGGTACCGTTAAATTGGAAACATCTTACATAAACGACGATAAAGCTTTAGTGATCCGTAAACCAGCGGTTAGTTTGAGGGAAACTTTCACAATTAGTCTTGTTTAAACTTTCTTTTAACTATTTCGAACATATTTACAGATTAGTAAGTTATCTGTGAATATAAGAAGTGAATAAATGTGATTTTTAATAAATAAATTTCAAAATTTTAGCAGCCATAACTGATTTGATTATGTATTTAAACATCAAACACTTTAATTTCTGTTATCTCTGTTTCCTTAATCGAAATATTTTTATTAATATTATCGATTTAATCAGAGATGCTACTTGCTTATTCAAATTTGTTATGGCCATTTATTAGTACCAATTTCTGATGAAGCTAACCAAGAAATTGTTGCCATGGTTATAGCTGTTTTAATAGCTCTCATCAGGTAATACTTGGATTTAGTTACAAACTAAATTGTAAATTGCATTTATTGTATGTTCTTGCTAGAATTACAATTTTTGTTGTGATTTTATATCTTTTACTATACCTTATTCATATAATCTTAAAAATTTTTAAATCCATTCTTCAAGTGGTCTTGACTTTACCATTTGAGATTGTAGATTCCTATTGACCAATTAAGTCAACGTCGCTTGCTAAAACAGCTAGGAAAAAGAAGGAAGATTTTCAGTAATTTATTAATTGCATATTCAAAATACAAAAAATTATTCACTGTAATAAAAAATAAACGAAAACAGTACAAAAACTAGGCACACGCCAAACTTAGACAATAACCAATTAAGCTGTAAATTAAGGCTGACATAAGTAAATATTACAATTTTATGTAGAAGTTTTCCCTAATTGACTTTTCTGTATTATTCGCGTAGTCGAAATGTCTAGACAAAGAGACCAAACAACTATTGAAATTAGAAAATAAGTGTTTAAACATTCCCAGGAAGGAAAATGGGTACGAGAAATTGCAAAAATTGTAAACAGAAGCCATTCTATAGCGCACGATATAATAAAGCGCTTCGGTACCCACAATCTGGTGGTAAACAAGCCAAAGAGCGCTCACAATAAAATTTTTCCTGAATCGTATGAACAGTGTTTAATAAGAAAAATGAAAGCGGATCAATTTTTTAGCGCATTAAAGCAGGCTATTATTCCTGAGAATGAACTAGGGAAAAAAGTTAGTGCGTCAACGATCAGAAACATGCTCCATAATGCCAATTTACATGGTAGAAAGGCGAGAAGAAAGCCGTTAATCAGTAAAAAGAATCAAAACATCAGATTAATATTTGCGAAAGAAGATAAATAAACGAAAATAAAGATTTTTCTTTTTCGAAAACTGTTCTATTATCTGATGAAAGTAAATATAATATTTTTGGGTCAGATGGTAAGCCATATGTATGGAGGAGTTGCATTTAAGGCCAACTGTGAAACATGGTGGGGGATCTGTGGTCAATTTTAGCTACTGGGCGAAGGATGTTTGCATTTCATTGGACCAAAATGCGTATCTCACTAATTTAAAAACCAATTTAAATCGTAGCATGGGTAAACTATCACTTGACAGCGACTGGTGATTCTATCAAGACAACGATCCAAAACGCAAGGCGTACAAAGTACGTGCTTGGCCCTTATATAATTGCCTGCATGTAATGGAAACGCCACCCCAAAGCCCAGACATAAATTCCATTAAATATTTATCGAATTATTTAGATACAAAAGTTCGGGAACATCAGGTTTCTGGTAAATCCGACTTGAATAGCGCCATGTTGGAAGAGTGGTAAAAAATTCCACCCATTTTTTGCGAAAAATTGATAGTTAATGCCTAACCGGTTTAAAATGGTTAAATCAAAGCCCTCCATACTAAATATTAGTTATTGAAAATATAAATACATTTTCTAAATTTTGTTTAATGTCCGTGTTTGGCTTGTTTTTGTACTGTTTTCGTTTATTTTTTTATTACAGTGAATAAATTTTTGTTTTTTGAATATGCAATTAATAAATCATTGAAAATCAATTTACTTTTTTTGTAGCTGTTTTGGTTTAAATATTTTTTAGTAAGAAAGTATTATTACTGTAGTGTTCCAGTTTAGCTTGGAGCCACTGTACGTGTTTTACGCTTCAGGCCAACTCCTGTGAAGTTGCAGGGGATGATAGATTCCATATTTTCAGGCTACACTCAGCGGCATAAAAAACGCATCACCTAAAATGATGTCCAGTTTCAAAGTGCAATAACTTTTGAACGTATTGCTCGATTTGAATAAGGTTTTATTTATTTGAAAAGTCTACTCTTTGCCAATATTTCTGTAGATGCCTTCCCCATTTTGGCACTCTCCAATTTCAGCAATGGTGAATAACGCTAATGCGTGTTTTCTTCCTACACTTTGAAGTTTGCTGTGGGATAAACCGACAAAAGATATTAATTTTAAACATAAGGAGCTTGTAGTCTTCTTTGTCTTTTTTTTTTGTTCACGTTTCTATTGTTGTTAACACCAAAGTTACAAGTTCTAAAGGATAAAGCAGCTTCTTCGGCAGCGCCATAAGAAATTAAAGCTAGCCATGGAAATTAACGAAAACATTTCAGTGACGTTTAGTGCCGTTAACGTCGTTGACTGTTGCTAGACAAGAAAAATACCTTTAAGTCTTGCAGAAGTTGCTCAGGCAGTGGCTTTGGTGGAAGATGGACGCAGCGCTAGTTATGCTGCTCGTGTTCTTGGCGCGATACAGAGTACGGTTTGTCGCGCCATTCAAAGATTTCGGCGGACTGGCACCTCCAGAATATACAGTGGACCAATGCAAAGTGGCGAAACGTACTGTTCTCAGATGAGGCGAGGTTCGGCTTGTACTCTCGACATGGTCGAGAGAGAGTTTGGAGAAGAGCAGGAGAGCGTAATGCTCAGTGCAACTTCTCTGAAATACTACAATACCAGGGAGGATCTTTAATGGTTTGAGGATGAATCTGCTTCGAAGCACGTACGAAGCTTTGTTTTATCAAAGGCAATCTAAGCGGCTTGATGAAATTTTGGCTGAATACGTGGTTTCAGCTTCACGCTCCCATACAGCCCGTATAGTGTCCCAATACCTGGATAATTTGGATATCAGCAGAATGGAGTGGCCTGCACGTAGCCCTGATTTAAACCCCATACACATGTGGGATATACTAGGGAGACGAGAATAGCGCTAGAAGAAGAGTGTTACCAGATTCTTAAAATGAAAAACCTGATTCGAAGTATGTCTCGAAGGATGAGGGACACCATTCAAGCGAGGGGAGGAAATACCCGTTATTAACATTTTGTTTGATTTACTTGTCACAGTTTAATACATTACAGTATTTCATCGACATCTATAACTTGCTTTAATTTCTGATGTCGCTGCCGACCAAGCTGCGTTATCTTTTAGAGCTTGTAACTTTGGTGTTAACAACAATAGAAACTTGAACGAGCATTCTTCAAAAGTTATTGCAGTTTGAAACTGGTCATCATTTTAGGTGATGCGTTTTTTATGCCGCTGAGTATAATAACATCTTATTATTAACATAGCTTGATACTTATTGATTATGGAGGACCAAAAACTCCAATTTTTTCCAATTTATTGCAATTATACAACAAGTTTGTAAAAGTATTGAGTACTTATTGCAATAGAGCGGTCTTTCTAGACCTTAGACAGTCTACTCATTGTACCTTTAGCAGTCCTATTCTTCTTCGATGTCGCTCTCACTTGAACATGCGTTATTAATATAGTATGAGCCTAAGCACATGATCTAGTATACAATTTGAAATCTGTTTAGAGGATCTGTCTGTTGCAGAATGATCGACGATCAAAATTTTGGTTTTCTCTGCATTAATATTAAAGCCACATTTATTATTCTCAGATTCAACTCGGTTTAGAAGATCAAAAATTTCCTCCTCTGATGCAGCTATTAAAGTTGTATTGTTTGCATATCTCTGGTTTGTAATCGTCTTGCCTGCAATTCAGATCTTTCCATTCCAATGGAGGCCTTTATTCTCATTATGTATTCTCCATAGATGTTAGAAATCTGGAGAGAGTATACAACCCTGCCAGGTTTAAAGGGCAAATGAGGTCGGTTCTATATTTGTGACCATGATGTTGTCGTAGTGGCAACAGCACTTTCAAGTTGACGCAGTCAAAAGAATAATCCAAGAAACAGATTACCATTGAGATTTTGAAATCTCGGCATTTTTCTATGAGTTGCCTTAAACATAAGATTTTTTTCTCTGGTCTCTTTTCCTTCTATAAAACATGCCTGTTCGATGGAATTTGCCGATCCAGATAAGACTAAATGCCTTTTAACGATAGTTGCAACATTTCGCAGTTACATCCATCTTATGTATAGGAATGAAAGTAAAAGTACACCAATCCTTGGGCCATTGACCTTCCTTCCAAATCATATTACATAGCTCAGTTCAGATTTTAATGTCATGGTGATTCAGATTCTGCAAAAATTCTCCCATTATATCATCGTATCCTGGAGATTTTGCTTTTTTTAAATGTGCTATTAAAAATGCTATTGCCCCTTTATCTCTGCTTGCAAACTGTCCGGTTCATACCCAATCTCGTTTATGTTTAGAATTTTCTCCTCTTTTCCCAGAATCTGTTGATCCTTGAACAGTTCTGTACAATATTTCAACCAAGCAGTACTGCAGTGCCTTTTTCAGATTCTCTTTTATAACTGCGTCGTTTAAAATCTCTTGGCTCTCTGAAATAGGTCTTTAGTTTAGTTTCGGTGCGCGTGTTTCTATCTCTTGGCATATATTGGAAATGTAATTACCTTTATCTTTGCGGTATCTTTTCTGAATATTGTCGGATAGAGATCTATATGCACTTACATCGAAGGTGTCTATTTTGAGCTGTTTCCTTTGCTCTATAATTTCCCAAGTTTGTAAGTGTGTAAGTTCGACTCTTTGTATTTCCTTGTCTTCGACATTGTCTAGCTATATTCAGAAGATTTATGTTCGTCCTCGATTCTTCCATATTATTATACACATCCTTGCTGAAAAATATTAATTGTAACAGGATCTTTATTTTAATTGCCCACCAAATATTACTACAAAACTAAAAAAATACGATGAATATGTTATTATTTTTGTTTTCTGTCTTATCAGCCTCGTTTGGTCTGTATATCGTTATTATTGTTTTCTCAACCTTTGCCTATTTCATTACTACTGTTAGTATTCTTGTTTCCTACGTTTATCAGTTCTTGTCTTTTCATTTTGCTCTCCGTTAAGATCAGTATATCTACTCCTGTATCTTCAAATACCTCCGTCAATTCTATGTTCTTATCATTAATACTCTTCATTTGATATTCCATATACTATTTTTTTCATTACTTCTACATCTAATGTCTCTTACTTCCATATTTCTGCTATTCTCATTACCTTGTTTACCATTTCCCAGTTTTGTAATCTCCAATTCGTCATTCTGATCCATTGTTTTTATTAGTTTTTGCCCCACTCTAACTGCTCGCTTTGTTAGTTCCATACCCATTTTTCCTCATCGATGAAGATCTTTGTAATCCTTTTCTTACTTTCTTTCTTGCCTGTTTTTTCGATATTGCTCCTATCTTATTTGATATTTATGTTCTATTCTCTATTTGTAACCACTTTGTTCTCTTCCCTTTAGTCTATTTCGCGTCCCTTAATTGGATTTATTCAGTGCTCAAAACACGACGTCACCATGTAGATATTAATGAAATTTACTTTTTTTTTAACAGAGCGCCTTATAGAATCACCTTATAACTCATAAATGCAAATTTTATCAGCCTGCTTTTTGAATTTCCTTTTTATTCTCCTTCTTTTTAACTCTTTTATAGCCACCATGATGGAAAATCATATTATAAAGAGGTGAATGACTAAAAAGTAGTCTTTTTGTACATTAAAGATGGTAAGCATATCTTATAAAAACTACACCACTTTCAGCACTAACCATCATTGTGGTATGGATTTCGAAATTCTTGCTTCCTCTAGGATTCATCGCCAAATACAATCAGTACTCGTTTGATATATATATATATTTCCGCTAATTTATTCTATATATCAATTAGGTAGGGCGTTTCTATATCATAAAGGTTAAGATATGTGTGAAAGGATCAAGATATGAATTTGAATAATATATTTATTAAGAAAGTAAGCACTCATTTATTTTAACTATAGTAATAGTAAACTTCTTTTTTAATGTGAATATTGCAAAATGTAAAAAAATATTCAATTACTTAATACTATTTACACCTAAATCTTAATCACACAGTTTTTAAAATTAATTTTAATTTAAAGATATATTTATGGGTCAATATCGTTAGCAGGACTTTTCTTCCTCCATAGTGCTCTTATTAAATTATCCTCAGGTCCGTTGATTGAAAATTTCGGTCGGTCCGAAATTCCGGAAGTATTGGGAGTGTTTGATGATGAATCAACATTTTCTTTGTCGCCATTTAACTGCCGTAATGTAATTCGGCGGGGAGTATCACCAGTACTTGTCGGGTGACTTAAATCTTTACTACAAAACTTTTTAACCACGTTTAACATACTTTCGGATTTATCTTTAACCGATTTTAGCACACCTTCTAAATTAAATCGAAAACTGTTTATTTGCTCTTTAATACATTCCGTTTGTTCTTCTTCATTTATACGTATTTCCCCCAACGTTTCTAAAACACCCAACCTCACAGTATCGCAATTACTTTTAATATTATCAAGATGTTTATTGTACGTTTCACATTGATTATTATATTCTTTAGCGATTTGTTCAATTGTTTGGATTGTAGTTGAGGTGCGTTTGTTGATTTCTTTTTCAGTTTTTGTCTTTATCACTTTACAGGATTCTTCAATATTCTTACTTTCTTTTTGTGTAATAATTAATTCGTTTTTATTTATTGCTTCCAAAATTGCATTAATAGCATTGAAATTATTTTCAGTTGATTGACTACATTCTGTTAAAGTTGATTGATATTTCTGGGCACTTCCATTATCAATACTGGATTTTATGTTTGTTATATCGGTATAAATTTCATCGTTTTTCAATGATAATAAATTTTCCATTTCTTCAATTTCCGAAAATTCTGTGATTATCTAAATTTAAAAAAAAAGTACATCAAATCAATTAATACAAAAAATGATCTTATATATTGTAATTAATTTTAGATATGTTCTTGAAGTGCGCCATCCCTTGAAAAGGACGTCATAATTCTTGCTTTAGTATAATGAATACTAAATATTAAAGAAAAAAAAAATCAAATAAGTTTACTTTGATTAAAAGAATAACTAGTGATACCAAGAAAACCCTTCTGTACTAAACTGCTTTATCGCCAGAAAAGTATCTTCTCAATTAATTTCATAGAAGCTTAGGAAAACTTTGACAAGATCATTTGGCAAAGTCATGATGACTGAAAGGATAATAAGAAAAGGCATTCAGAAACTATTGACAGAAAAGGTGTAAATTATCCAGTTGAGAAGTTGATAAAGAAAAACCAAGAGAAGATGGTAGATATGAAGAGTTGACGTTATTTGCTGAACATCTGACCAAGAGGCTTACTCCAAACATAAATAAAATATAATATATAAATAGAATATTGACAATTAAAAACCAGTGCAAAAGAATATATCACACCAGTGAAAAATTATTAAAGCAACCCAGAAAAGGTGTAGTCATGCTGACCTTTTACCTCAAGGAAGCTTTTATATTAAAACATATGCCAGTATGTTGGAAAGTTGGAATGTTCTCAAAAGACTGAAACCAATAAAACAAACTAATCACTTAATAAGAAATTATCAATTTGGATTCAGACAAAAGCACAAGATAAGAAAGCCTGTTCAGACTTGTTCAATACTCAGATTTAAGAGGAAAAGCGAGAGTGCCTGAGGACAGTGTACTGAGTCCTACCCTGTATCTGCTCAGGACTACAATGCACATAACACAGCACTACTTACAGTATTGAAAGATTCCCAGAAATTATCCACTGGAAAACTACAAACAGCCAGCAATGCACTCGACCATATGCCCCTTTATGAGAACAATGCCAAATACCTAGTACTATGGACACCAAACATATGTAAGTGGAATGCGCGTGTAAAAATCAAAAAAAGGAAACGGCGGAATTAGCCCTAAAATACAAACTACTCTATTGGCTGATTGAAAGGAACTTGAAACCTTCAATCTCCAACAAACAACTGGTTTATAATCGGATCCTAAAACTAATAAAATTGGCATCCAGTTCTAGGACTGTCCCAATGACTTTACTCCAGAATAAAGTACTATAAGACATAGTTAATGCCTCCTGGTATGTGAAATTCCGATATACATAGAGACCTTCAGATTCCAATAATTAAGGAAGAAATGAGAAGTTTTGCTGAAAAGCATGAGACTAGACTACACCTCCACGACACGCAAGGGCTCTTCAAATACTGAATAACCAACACCACGTTCGAAAACTGAAAAGAAGAAAACCATGTAGTGTGTTCTGTATAAAAGCAGAGCACAGTGTGTAAGAACAAAACTAGAAGATATCAATGAATAGGCTGACTTTTGTCAATAAGTATACAGCTTTAAGATGAAAAATAATGGTTAGCTATAAAACTAGTTTTAATAGCCGGCAAAATGGTACTATTAAAGAAGAAAAAATGTAATAGTATATTATTCAACAAGCGTATAATGGCGGCTGTTACCCACGAAGATGAAGTTGCAAAACGAGCGAGTGTTGTAATCTGAGTGGGTAACATCCATTATACGCAAGTTGAATACTATACTTTATCTACAACTATTTAATTTTGAAAAAAAAGATCAAAAAAGGAAAAAAAATAAACTTGATAGACATTTCAGACATAACCTCAATATAAGAAAGCTGTCATTTCTGTTAATATTTTATTTTTTGATTGGTAGGCCGTGTCAGAACTGTGGAATAATGGCGTCATTATTCAACACTTTGTCAGTCATGAGTAATGCGTGTCATTACCCGTCAAAAATCAAATGTATAATGAATAGATAATTCAATAGTTGTAGATAAAAACATTAATGTTCTGTAGATAGAATCCAAAATATGTGGAATATTATCCACTATAATACCTACAAAATTTATGTTACCGTACACCCGAAGGATCCATCTTAGCACCTCATTACTGACCTGATCCGTCGAAGAGATCTTCAGGAAAACCCGCATTTCCAAGGCTACTATCCACCTCACACCAATAATTCCAAGCGTCCATGCTTCCACTTCGTATAACTATTGAATTACATCTATTCGATTTAATAAATCGGTATTGAACATCCAGTGACAAGGTGGAATTTGCTAGGAGTTTCTTTATTCTTTGAAACGCAGATTTAGCATATTCTATACGGGCTCGCACTTCAACCTTGTTGTCAAGATCGTCTGTTATACAGCAACCAAAATACTGGAATCTGTGTACAAGTTCTATCTCATTGTTGTAAACACGAATATTAATGCAGAAATTTGGCATACGTGTCACAGCCATTACTTTTGTTTTGTTCATTTTTAACCCTACAGTATCTCCTTTAATGGTCACGGCATTCAAAAGTCGTTGCAATCCCTGAGCACCGTCCGCAATAATAAGTATGTACCCTTTTAACGCCCTCCTTTTCTTATCGACATATCTGTTATCAGATCATTTATTTTGATCAATGCCATTTGTTCCCAAGACAGGTTCTTAATAAGGGCCACATTTTTATAGTCTACACCATGCTGTCTTAGAGATCTGATCAGTTCTGTATGTTTTACTGGATCAAACGCTTCTTTGCATTGATCTCGGCACTTTTGCAGCAGTATCTGAAGACCAAACTTGTACCAACTTCCATACGGAATCCAAATTGACCGTCGCTTAGGTTTTTCTCGCATTCTCTGTATACAGGGTCCTTCAGCTCAGCTCCCGTCTTCTGTAGCTCAGTTATTAATTAAGTTAGGAGTTTAATATTTTGCAGGCTTATACTGTATCTCAGGCCGCATTTCAGGAAATTATTATTGATTATACAGAGTGTCCCAAAAAGTGTGACGATTGAAGTGTGAAAATGTGAAAAGATTCACATTTTCTGTTTCTACAAACCTTTCTAATAAATTTTGCAGACTTTTTTATCGGGATGTCGTCGTTCCGCATAACGCTCTGCGTACACTCGACTTGCCAAAAAACAGTTCTTTTCACATTCCCCTAATATAAAAATCATATCTACGAGCTCTTCTTTGTTGTATTGCATAGCAAAAAATAATATTGGCGTGTAAATGGCTTAAACAATTAGTACTGCGAAGGTAACAATGTTTAAAACAATTACTTTACTAACGTCAAAATATGATTTCTTAGTCAATTGTTTTTCATAGCCACGATGGATTTTGATTAATTAAAATTGCCGTTGGAATAGATGAAATACGAGTTTTCGGCGAATAACATTTTAAATGTCAGGAATCGTGATGGGGTTGTTATTACAAAATATTTTTGTTTTTTAATTCTGCATCGATTACATAAAAATATGTAGGGGTCCAATTTAAAATAAGAAAGATAAAATGCTTTAAAGTTTGAAAGTTTTGACACTAGATTTTGGCCATCCTGTATAATTTTGAATCAATGGAACTTGGTTAACGAATCCACTAGACCTTATTTAATAAGTTTGACATTAAACTTTATTAATGAGGCGCTGTTTGTAATTATGATTAATTTTTAAAACCAGCGACGCAAATACGATTTTTTTTCGTTTTTATTTTTTTGTCGGCCGATTCAGCCGTTTTCAACTATGTAGGCACCCATAAAAGACACCCAAAAATGTGAGGAAAAATATATCGTGACATTTAAAAAAATATATCATCATGACGTCACACTTTTTTGGGACACTCTGTATAATCAATAATAATTTCCTGAAATGCGGCCTGAGATACAGTATAAGCTTGCAAAATATTAAACTCCTAACTTAATTAATAACTGAGCTGCAGAAGACGGGAGCTGAGCTGAGCCAGTCTTCTAGAAACGTTCCCGTGCTATATATTGTGTTTATTAGCAGTGTTAAGGTCTGAAGGTTTTCTTCATTTATAAGTTTTATCATTTTTACATATATTTCATCTGACCTTAGGCCTTTTATCTCTTCCACCATGTTAACCGCTTTAGTAACTTCTGATATTAATATGTCAAGTATTATTTTTGGATTACATTTATCTGCGGTTCCGTACTTTCGCCATCAAAGAGCCCCTGAATGTATTTTTCCCATATGTATCCTACATCTCCTGGTCTAGTTACTACTTGAATATTATCATAGTAATGAATTTTGCCTTCATATTTGTGACTTCTTTTACCTTTTTGTATATATTGAAGTGATCATGTTTTCTTAGTAAGTCAGTTCCTCACATCTGTTGTCCATCCATTCTTTTTCTCTTTTCTGTGTTTCTTTATATTTCGCTTCATTTTGATTTTTATAAGATCTTTGAGTGTCTATCAGTTCTAAAATTTATTCTGACATCCATGAATTTTTTGTATTTCCTATACTAGTTCCTAGATAATAAAATTCCGATACCTGTTCAAAAATCTTATTGTTAATCATTACTTAGCATCTATGGGATTTTTTGCTATCGTCTTGCTTATCGAGATTTGCTAACTTAATTCCTCAATTGCAAAATGAAATGTCTGTGTTAATCACTGTAGACCATCATCAGTATCAGTCAGTAGGGCGGCATCATTTGCATATCTAACGATCTTAGTTTTTGTTCGCTCATAGTGTAACCATCGTTCACTTTACATACTTTGTCTATTATTGTATGATGCTAGATTTAATATTACACAAATACAAAACTAGGCAACATAAATTGAAGCGCCTAGCTTAAACCAAACAGTAGAATCAAAGTGATTACTGTGGTCTTACTATATCTCACTTATAGTTTTGAAAGAATTAAGTGATTGCGGTTGATGTGCTTTGAGTGAGAGGAATACAGCTAGGTTGAGCCATTACTGTGTAGTAACTTTGACAGTTACGGGTAAATCTTTGCGAGACTAATTCAAGCAACATAATCCTTATTTATAACAATGCCCTATATCACACACTGATCATTAATTGGAGAAGCAGAATTCGTGATGGGGTTGTTATTACAAAATCTTTTTGGACACTCTGTATAATCAATAATAATTTCCTGAAATGCGGCCTGAGATACAGTATAAGCCTGCAAAATATTAAACTCCTAACTTAATTAATAACTGAGCTACAGAACTACAGACCTCTGTATATTGCCATCCAGCTGGTATGGGTGCAAACGTTGATCTGAGCCAGTCTTCTGAAAAGGTTCCTGTGCTATATATTGTGATTATTAGCAGTGTTAAGGTCTGAAGATTTTCTGCATTTATAAGTCTCATTTCATTTCTACATATATTTCACCTGATCTTAGGCCTTTTATCTCTTCCGCTATGTTAACCGCTTTTGTAACTTCTGATATTAATATGTCAAGTATTATTTTTGGATTACATTTATCTGCGGTTCCGTACTTTCGCCATCAAAGAACCCGTGAATGTATTTTTCCCATATGCATCCTACATCTTCTGGACTAGTTACTAATCATCTACTAGTCATTGAATCTTGCCTTCATATTTGTGACTTCTTTTACCTTTTTGTATATATTGAAGTGATCATGTTTTCTTAGTAAGGCAGTTCCTCACATCTGCTGTTCATCCNAGTTACTACTTGAATATTATCATAGTAATGAATTTTGCCTTCATATTTGTGACTTCTTTTACCTTTTTGTATATATTGAAGTGATCATGTTTTCTTAGTAAGTCAGTTCCTCACATCTGTTGTCCATCCATTCTTTTTCTCTTTTCTGTGTTTCTTTATATTTCGCTTCATTTTGATTTTTATAAGATCTTTGAGTGTCTATCAGTTCTAAAATTTATTCTGACATCCATGAATTTTTTGTATTTCCTATACTAGTTCCTAGATAATAAAATTCCGATACCTGTTCAAAAATCTTATTGTTAATCATTACTTAGCATCTATGGGATTTTTTGCTATCGTCTTGCTTATCGAGATTTGCTAACTTAATTCCTCAATTGCAAAATGAAATGTCTGTGTTAATCACTGTAGACCATCATCAGTATCAGTCAGTAGGGCGGCATCATTTGCATATCTAACGATCTTAGTTTTTGTTCACTCATAGTGTAACCATCGTTCACTTTACATACTTTGTCTATTATTGTATGATGCTAGATTTAATATTACACAAATACAAAACTAGGCAACATAAATTGAAGCGCTTAGCTTAAACCAAACAGTAGAATCAAAGTGATTACTGTGGTCTTACTATATCTCACTTATAGTTTTGAAAGAATTAAGTGATTGCGGTTGATGTGCTTTGAGTGAGAGGAATACAGCTAGGTTGAGCCATTACTGTGTAGTAACTTTGACAGTTACAGGTAAATCTTTGCGTGACCAATTCATCGATTGCAGCAGCCGGCGCTGTTTTAACTTAACATTTATAAAATAAAAAGTTGCGTGTGAAAAACAATGATTGAAGCAACATAATCCTTATTTATAACAATGCCCTATATCACGCACTGATCATTAATTGGAGAAGCAGAATTCCTTAACAGTGGAAACACCAAGAGACAATTCAAGAAGAAATTAAATCACGTATGAAAGCAAGATAGAGTCCATTTCAATCATAGGTAACATGTATGCCAGATAACGACCGACAATACAGTAAGTCCTTCATTTAGTAATAAAGTAATTGTAAAAACAGTTCTTTAATGATTCTACTTTGGGCATAAAACTTTCAAATCTGGTGTAGTCAGATCTGTCAAAAATGAAACTGCCAATATTTTGGAAAAGTCAGAATTTGTACCAGTCACAAACGTTATTTTTCTCCAACCAACATATTTGCCCTCACACAAATAGATCTTTAGTTTTCAATGATTTAATGAAAACTTTTAAAAAGCCTTAAATTCCTAATTGAAGCGTTTAATACATAAATATTGTTACTGACCAATTTCATTACTTTTAAAATTAATAGTGCCAAAGATATTTGCACTTCAGATATTTTCAAGTTGTTTTTAGTAATTTTAACAATTTTTTTGCAATTATCAGTAACTTTTAACAAAGAATAAAGGCCACTTGTAAAACAAATTATGGTCATTTTTATAATTTAATAACATACCAGTTGTTTTGCTTGTGCTATTCTACGTTTAGAATCCAAAAACCTTTGATTTTGTTCTTCAAGTTTCGCTATAACCGCTTGACTACTCTCTGAAATGGCATATTGAAATTCAACTAATTCAGTCGAAATTGATGTTAAACCAATTGAAAAATTTCTTCTCATATCTTGAAGCTAAATAGAAAATAAATTAATATCAACACAATAATTTTATAACACTACTTACTGTTGAAAAAACTCGTTGTATGCCATTTCTCCTTTCTGTAGATATATTATGAATAGAGTTTGTTAATTCTGATAAATGTTCTTCAATAAATCTAATAGTATTATTAATTATCTTTTTACTGCTACTTTCGTTTCCATTTTTTAATTTATTTAAATAATTTTTTATTCTACTATTAACTGAATCATCTGTTAAATAATGCATTTTATAAGTATCTATTTCTGTAGAAAGTTCGTGAAGCAGTGGTAAAAAACCTTTAATTTTATCCAAATTTTGGTCCAATATTTCAGATCGATTAGACAATGTAGATTCTACGTCAATATTTACAAGCGACATTATAATATCATCTATACAACACATTATCTTGTTGTTTAAGTCATTGTGAATGTCAAAAAATGTTTTTGTGGATCTTCGATTACTTTCAGACGTTTGATATAAATATGATAATTTATTATGTAGTGTTTCAGAGTTTTGACAAAGCATTGTTTTAAATTCATTTAATTGTTCTTCACGTTCAATTTTCTCGTTCTTTAACTTTTCGTTATTTTCCGAAATCACTTTCCAATCGCATTTCATCGTTTGCAAAGAATTCGTTTTCTCTTCTAAATTTATTTGTAAATTTTTTATCATTGACATTTTTTGAATTAATTCATTACGACGAGTTTCATTTTGTTCTAATAAACTTTTATAATTATCATCGTCCAAATAAACGCCATTTCTCGTACGAGCCGCATTTAAATCCCGTTTTAAACGTTCAATTTCTTCAACGTATTGTTGCACCAAAGCGGCTCGCGATATTTTTTGATTCACCTCGGGGCGATTTTTAATTGACTTCGCACGCATCGCATACTCTAAAGTGCTTAAAGTTTCTTCAGTATTTGTAGATGATGAGGATATTGTGGCAATTAGTGATGTTTTTGTTGTTCCACCTAAACTATCTTGTAATAGTCTCGTCAATTTTGATTCGCGGTATGGAACATGTGCATTTTTCTCAGTTAACGCTTTTATTACTCGACCAAGGGTAAGTAATGATTGGTTGATATTTCCAGCTTCGCGAGCGCGCATGTCTTGGGCACCAGATCGAGAAATGTTTTCAGAACCAGCTAGATCTACTAGATTTATTTTTCCCGTTTTAACAAGTTCGTCGCCAGATGCTGTTGTTTCGCGGGTGTGTACAATTATGGTAAAAACTGTATGCGATCGGCTGGAAGACACGTTCATTAATGTCGGGGCGGTTTTACGTTTTTCATTTCCAAGTTCTTGTAATTTATGAATTTGGGATTTATTTGTAACTGGCACCTCTTCAATTCCTTGGATAATAACTGATCCTTTTTGATTTTTGTCTTCAAATATTCTAAATATTAAAATATTGTTAAAAATATTTATGAAACAAAATCTGCGGAGTTTTTCAAAGTCTTTGCACAATTCCAAAAACTTTGATATTATTTATATGTGCATTTTAAAATCATTAAAAGTCTGAGATGAGTCTTAAAATCTAAAGAATCACTTGTTCCCTTCTATGTTATATTCTAAATGTAATTTTTTTACAAAAAATTTAATTGTAAGTACACTCATTAAAATGAGTATATATCAAAATTCATCAAAAATGAAAATGATGATATATTAACCCGTTTATGCCCACAGTTCCAATAAAGGAACACCCCCGTTTTTCCCCCTCCACACTTTGTTGTTAATCACAACGTGATTTTGCAGACAGCAACGTTTCCAGTAAATATGTTGATTAGTGAGAGTGATTATTTGACCAATTATGGTGCCTTTAACGTGCAAAAAAAGTTGGAAATTTCTTTCGTAAAAAATGTCTAGTAAAAGGTAAGTGACATTTTCTATTTTTAAACTAATAATATCTATTATTATATCTATTATTTTGCGTTGTATTTATTGCCCTAATAATTCTCAACACATTTCCATATATCATCTATAATAATAAGATAAATAAAAAAAAAAAACACTTTTTCCCAAAAGTTCCAAAATTGGAACTATGGGCTAAACGGATCCATAAAAATTTTTAATAATTTCAGATCCCTCACAACTGCAGAACTCATTTAAGTAATAGAAGACGAGGATTTTTGAGCCGCTGATGTTTTTATTACTCTTCCAGATGATGGTACTGAACGTGCCCAAGATAGCGGCAATGAAAACTTCTGCAACGAGATCAATAACTGGATGGTCGACAGCTTCAAGCGGAAGCTATGGCGAAAATTACAAATCAAGGACGGACTTTCACAATTGGTGATAGCACACTGACGAAGAGTCAAATAGTGACAACGAAACGTTGTCAGAAATGCAAAAGAAGTTACCGAAAAAAAGAAACTGACAAAAATCCGATCTTATTTCTGGGTTTACGAACTTTGAGAAACTGATGCAATCAGCACCCATTCCTTCTGATCCAGTGGAATGCTTTGAGCTCTTCTTTGATGATAGTATTATATCATTTTTGGCAGAAATAACGACGTTATACGCACAGCAAAAAGGTGAACATAATTTCCGAGTTTCCAATGAAGAAATAAAGTGTTTTTGGCCATACTACTACTATCTGTCTATTGTGTTGTTTCTAGATCTTCACTGTGCAGATAATAATAACTAATAACCTTCGTCCAGGCACAAATTTGCAAAAGTACTAGAATTGATGCAAATGCTTAATTCAAAATTATTGAAATACTCAGAACTCCAAGGCTGAGTGTTGAAAGTATGGTTCCATACTTTGGTAAGCACGGGGAAAAACAATTCTAAAAAGCAAAGCCGATACAGTTACAAGATGTGGTGCGTCTGTGAACCTTATTGGTATTTTATGCAATTTGAACCATACCAAGGAGAAAAACCGACGAGAAAATGCAGCTGGTACTTCAGCGGATAAAGAAGAAAATGCGTCAACCACAAAAAAGTAAGAAAACCAACTATAAAGAAACCTGCATTTGGTGTAGGAGAGTTTGCTGTACTTGGACTGATAAAAGTTCTACCAAAACAAATTAGTAACTCATTTACAGGAAAAAGATATGGATGTACGAGAACTATCAAATAAAATAAAATTGAAGTGTCCCATAATGCTTTCAAAAGTGGTAGAAAAGAGGAACAGAGGTGTTTATGATTATTGTACAGATGTTCCCAATAAACTAGACGTTACAAGCTGGCATGATAATAGAATAGTTCTGATGATTATGTTATGATTCTACGCTTCCAGAATGAAGACTGGAAAGGTGGATATCAAAACAGAAAAAAATTCAGTTGCATAACCTCATGTAGTAGCTCAACACAATAAATTTATGGGCGGTGTAGATAGAATATAGACAACTACAGCATTTCCGTTAGATCGAAGAAGTGGTGATTGGCAATTTATGCGTTTTGTGTCTATATTTCAGTGCACAACGGATGTCAAATATATAAAAAAGGACTTGGGTAAAAAATGGATTATTTGCAATTTCGAAAAATAGTTGTGCAAACGTATTTACAAAAATATGGTATTCCCCAGGCAGGAGGAGGACGTTAATCTCCGTTAAATTGGCTTCAAAGGTGCCAACGCAAGTGCGATTTGAAGATAGCAATCACTGGATTGTCAGCGCAGAAAAACAAAATCGCTGTGCTTTCTGTAAAAAAAAATACGAGATAGTCTTGTCAACAATGTAAAGTCAATCTGCATGAATCCTGTTTTGTTCACTTCCACACAAGATAATGGACAATAAATAATACCAATACATTTATTGTTAACGTTTATGTTGATTTGATTGAGAAAAAACTACGAAAAAATAGTATTTTCTTAAAAATAATACTTGAAGTAAGTTACAAAGGATGAAAACTATACCAAAATGACACTGGAAATACAGAAATCTAAAAAAAACATAATTCTGGCATAAACGGATTAATTATTGCAGATAAATTAAAAATAAAGTGTTTCTTTTCCAATTAGCAACTAGAAATTGATCAACTTTTATTAGTTAGTTTTCAATTTAGTTATTGTTTTCAATGTTGTACATTTTATGCCATGGTTTCCCAGATCTGTTGAAATAAATTGATGTAGTTCATGTATAATCCTGTGCAAGCCACCGATAACATCCAGTACAGCAATACATTATTGATACGCTGATCAGAATAGATGGACATATTATTAAGTGCACATCTGTACACGCCATAGAAATTAGAATAAAAACCTCCACCAATTGTATTCGAGATTGTGACATTGGATTCGAGACTTGGCTGGCGTACAAACAAGTCTCCATTAGTGAGATATTATCATTATCATATTATCAATTTAACAGATTATTAGGCATAAATACTTAGTTTAGTTCTTAGTCTCCCATCACAATACAATACACGCAGTGTAAATGATAAATCCCAAGACAGCAGCGGTCTTTCCATCTCCGTATCAAGAATTCTTAACATTACACACCGACAGTTCAGTATGCTTCCTGGCCAAAAACTCGTTCATTGATTCACATTTGCATGGGAAAAACTCACGTCAATTTTACATTTTGTAATTACGCCGCTAAGCAGTTTGCTGTTTCGCTGTGTGAACTTTTATTTCTGGTGAAGAGCGATCTGCTCTATGTTTTAAAGTTGCGAAAAATAGAATAACTCTTTTGCTGGGCGCGAATGTTTCAGAAACTTAGAAACTTAAACCGATGTTAGTGTACCATTCACAGATACTACGTGCTTTGAACGGTCTCAATAAAAACATGTTACCAGTTTACTGGAAATGAAACAAGACATGCTTTGCTTTTGTGAAAAAAATAAATTAACACCCAAGGCATTTTCTTCTTTTGGACAATGCTCCAGGACATTCTCGAAACCTGGACGAAATCAAAACACCATTGGCTGTCAAAGTTGTTCACATGCATCCAGGGGGTTATTGCAACCTTACTAACTCCGCAATACTTTCTTGGAAATGGTGAGAATTTTGAACACTTCAAATAAAATAATCAAAGACTATTGGCGGTCTTTCGATATTTTAAAATTAATAATTAAAGTGGGGTTGGGGTAAAGCTTCGGCAAAATGTTTAAATGGAGTTTGGCGTAAACTGCTGCCAGCATTAAAACACGATTTTGAAAAAGTATCACAACAGGTGAATCTAATGTGAAAGTGTTATTGCTCAACATGTCACAGAACATTTAGAAGTCCAAGACAGTGCGCTAGACAACGATTGAGAATGAAGTGCTAATGTAAACAGGGGCATTATCGCATACATATACTGAAATTCTCAATGAAAGAAACCAAAAGTTCAAGCAATCAATGCTGAGGTCTACCTGTACAAAAACGTTTGCACTGCAACTCTGTTAGAATAAGTCCAGTTGTGCTGCAATGAAGCAGCTTGGATTGTGAAAGGTGTTAATTATGAAAAACCGACTTTAATCTGTTATTAGTTGTTATCACTTCATCTTCAGAGAAATAAATTACACCCATAACAGTTTTAGCTAAGATCAATAAGATTCTTAATAATTCCAGAAACGCTCAGATTAAGACGAATTGTATTAACATTTTGATTCAAAGGTAGATGGTGACTTAAGATAATAGTGACTGATTAAAAAACTCCAAAGAACGCGCTTTCTGGTAAACAAGACTACAATTGTTACCAAAAGATTTTGAAATAATGTCTTTAAGGAAGAGATCTTATTTATGAAGTCGTATGTTGTTCCCTCCAAGCAGAGTTGAGCTCCTTGCAGTAAAAATGTACAGCAAGTAAGGTATTCAGTGCTTTTTTACTTTAAGTAGTTTACTGCCAGTACTTTCAAATTGTAGGTACTTAATACTTGTACTTTCAGTATTTAGCTTAAAATGTATTGGACACTTATTACTTGTCTGACATAAGAAGTACTTGAAGAACTATTTATTTACTCCAAGTAGTTTATTAAAATAACAATTTTTTAAACTTTTCTTATACCTAACATTTATCATTATATGTATATTAGTTATATATGTATATAGTGATAGTTTCTACTTAATCATTAACCATTCACTACATAGTGTTCAATTCATTCATAATTCCCATCTCTTTACTATTTCAAAATTTAAATTATGCAAAATAATTCTCAGTTTGTATTTTTGATATTTCAATAAGTTTTGATAGTTACTAGAGAAATATGTTTAATCTTGTAAGGTATTAGCGACTGGCCGGCGCAGCGTCGACGCAAGTCGATTATTTGAAGTTACTGCTAATTGCAGGTGAATAACACTGTTCTACCGCGTGTGATTACTCAGTACAGGAGAATTATTTAAAAGGTAAGATTTAAAATACATGATATATGTACATTCAAGGGTTCTAATTACTTTGTACTGGGTACTTGAAATTTTAGTTTCAAGTAAAATTACTTATTACTCCAAGTACTTTTTAAAACTTGGAGTAAAAATAATTTATAGCGCTACTGGTACTGATTACTGGGAGTACTTTTCCTTTGTATTTGTAACAACTTTGCATCCAAGTTCATAGTGGACTAAATATCTCGAAACACCTGTATACAAATTTGAGAATGGTTTCAAATTTGGAATCATTGTACTTATACATTACACTGTAATATTTTTCATCAAAGATATATGATAATAGATCTATGACATAGAACTATGATAGTGTAATACTGGCCCAAGCAATTTAATTTTATAATATTTTTATAAGTAAAAATGTCCTTTCACTAATTATGTTTATGTAATGTACACAATATTATAACAGATGGTACATTACACTGTAATATTTTTTATCAGATACATGATAATAGATCTATGATATAGAATTATGATAGTGTAATACCAGCTACTTTGGTTACCTACTTTAAGGAAGCAACAGATTCTTAAGACCCATATAAAATTTTAGAAGTGTTTAAATTCTTTATATATTATCAGCTACTCAGATATCATTCAAATATGCTTACCGAAGTTGGTTTTCACTTCTTGATAACATATCTGTGAGTTCTTCATTATAAAGTTGAATGTATGATACACGAACAGAAAAATCGGTATTGTCCAAAATATCAAAGATATGGTTGATTGTACGAGGAATAATTCCTTCATTCTCCTAAAAAAGAAAAAGAGTCATTTCTGAAAGACTTCCACAGACTTTATCATCAACATTTTATGTTTAACATTAATTATTGTTTGAAAAAATTGTTCATTACTTACTCCTTTACCACCAGACATAGTAAAAGTTTTTCCAGTTCCAGTTTGACCATAAGCGAAGACCGTGCAATTATATCCTCCAATAACTTCTGTTATTAATGGTCTGACAATTGTATTGTAAACATCACTTTGACTTGAGGTATCATCAAAAACCCTGTCAAAGTGATATTTCTTTGAATATGCATTCTTTATATGAATGTCTTTTTCCGAAACAACTTCTAACATGGACGAAAATTTATGTACTTTTTCTCTTTCAGTATTTGGTCGAATTCTAACGTAAACGTTAATGTTCTGTTCTTTTAATCTTTGACTTGCCATCTTCTCGTTGTTAAACCAATAAAAACACCTATTCCACACACATATAATAACAAATAAACACGGTAGAAATAAAGTTGTCGTTTAAAATGTTAAGTTCTTCACTAAAGAGTAAAGACCGTTAAGTTAAAACTCGTTTGCGGAAATGGCTGCCAACCTAAAACTTTTAATTTCATTACTACCAACCTTTCAACGCAGTGAATTTACAGGTTTATTTTATTGTGTTAATTTTAGTAATAAATAAATACTTATAAAACTTATTTTGTATAAAATCACAAAAAGTTACATGGGGCATTGTATAAAAATATTGAATTCATTACCAACGGTCACAATTACATTTCAAAATATGCCAATAGAAACAATCAACGGACAAAAGATGGCGCTAGTTATTAAATTTAAAATATATTATCCGAATTTTATTATTTACTTTGTTATATTAAGTCCATATTAAACCTCGTTTATCCTGAATCTTTAGTTTCTTTACCTGTTTAAGTACAGTCTTACAACGTTGGATCACAATGTAAAATCTTTTCAATGACAACTAGACACTTGGCTACGTCCTTAAAAGTATAACCTAAAAATTTTTTGACAATGTCTAAAAAATATAAAAAATTATTATAAAGTTTAACACGAAATTAACAATTGTAGTTGTATTAGAATTATAAAATGGCATTTTTTGAGGACGCCCTTCTTGTCTTAATATCTCAGGTTCATAATTGCATAAATAATTTACATTATTACACATTTCTTGTAGGTTATATTCTTTGTAGGAGCTTGGATATTTTTTATGAAACAGTTATTTAAGGACTACGAAGTAAGACAGAAACTTGTACAAATCATATTCTCCATTACCCTAACTTTATCATGTACGATGTACGAGTTAGTAATTTTTGAAATAATAGACTGGTTAGAGTCGAGTTCTCGATATTTCTTTTGGAGTCTAATTTTATATTTTTTACTATTTGTTGTTATAGTATTAAACCCCCTTTATATTTTTTATAGCAGCATATGTAACATACCATTTGGTAAATCAAATAATTTTTTTAAATAGCTATATTTATACTCACTTTTTAGTTAAAACTGATTATATAAAACAGTTAACTTGCGTTATATGGATAATCTTTATGATTATCTTTTGGAAAATTGGAGATTCATTTCCTATTTCAAACTCAAAACAGAGTATTCTCTCTATCGAGCAATTAGTTTCAAGAATTGGTGTTATTGGGGTCACTGTTATGGCAGTTTTATCCGGTTTTGGTGCAGTTAATTATCCCTACACCTCTATGGCTTACTTTATAAGGTTTTACATGTAAAATAATATTAATTCATTTTATTTTATTAATAATTTGTAGAGATGTTTCACAATCGGATGTGATTAATACTGAAAAGAGATTAATGCAAACAATGGAAATGATTGTTTTAAAAAAGAAGAGGTTGGCCATTTCAAAAAAACAAAACCTAGAAAATCGATCTGAAGAATCAATACGACAAAGATATGGAATTTGGAATGTTTTAAATTCTATAGCTCCTAGAAGAGGATCAGAAAGTAATTTTAAAATGTAAAATTATAATAAATGAGATATTAAAATTTGAATTTGTAGATATTGCTCAGTTAAAGTTGGAAATAAGTGGTTTAGAAGAGTTGAGTAGGCAATTATTTTTAGAGGCACATGAAAATCATAACATGTTAGAACGCGCTGAATGGTCAAAATCTTGGACTGGAAAATATTTTAATTTTTTAGGCTACTTTTTCTCATTATATTGTATGTGGAAAATATTTATGGTACAACTATGAATAAAAAAATTGTCTTCTTTAATATTAAATGTAAATTCAATTTTAGTGTACCATAAATATAGTTTTTGATAGAGTTGGAAAGAAAGACCCGGTAACAAGAGGGATTGAAATAGCTGTAAACTGGATGGGTTTAAGTATCGATGTAAACTTTTGGTCTCAATATGTTTCATTTATTTTGATTGGATGCATCGTTGTCACTTCTATAAGAGGACTTCTATTGACATTAACTAAAGTAATTTAAATTCACTTTTATTCTATTAATTATATAAATTTTTTTTAGTTCTTTTATAAAATTTCATCAAATAAAAGTTCCAATATTGTAGTATTAATGTTAGCACAAATAATGGGAATGTATTTTCTATCATCTATATTACTTTTACGGATGAATATGCCACCAGAATATAGAATTATAATAACACAAGTTTTGGGAGACTTACAATTTAATTTTTATCATCGATGGTTTGATGTTATCTTTTTAGTTAGCGCTTTAACGAGTATTGTTACGTTATATTTAGCGCACAAACAGCCATTATATGAACAAGTATAATATTTTATTTTGCAATAAGTATTTTTTATACGATATAATCTGTAATTTATATATAAAAAAAGCTTTATTAATAAAAAAAGTTGATTATGTATTATAATGATTAAACATTAATACTTCTTTAATAATTGATTAATTATTAAAAACTATTGATTTTAGATATCTATTTCTTATGTGCTATTAAAAGGATATAAAGGATAGTTGATGACATTCAGAAAAAGGCCTGTCAACATCTGAACTTTTGTATGATAGACGCGTTGTAAACTGGTGTCATGAGAATAATAATAAAAAGTCGTGTTAAAATGTATAAAAACATGTACTATCCCTCATCAGTCGGTATGGAACAATGTATACTATGGAATCAATGTCTTCTATGCTAAACTGTTAAGAATGTAGGGGATGTGTAGACACCATCTAGCGATTATAACAACAGACAGATCAAAAACGGAAGAGAAGACCAATTATTCAGTGAATAAAGTTGCGCGAATCCCGATGATGTCATGGGAGTTAAAGTAAGCGCTCAAGAAACGGAGGTAATAATTCTGCAGTATAAGTAGTAAGATATGTCATGGAAACTACAGTATTTTGAATTATAATTATTAATACAGATATCCATATAAGTGGGTACTAACTTTAAAACAAGTACTAAAGGGTGTAAACACAAAATAAACTTTTATTTTAGTTATACATATAATCAAAAATATGCACAACAAAAATAAATCTTGGGTCTATTTTAACATTCGACGTTTTCTTGGTGGCGTTGTGGATTCGAATTCAATAGCGATAGTACAAGGTAATTTCCAGTACCTGAACGTGAATGGTAGAGATTTTGCATGAAAATAGCTGTTCAGAGTTCTTTGAGTTGCAGTTCTTTTAATTTTCATTTTAATGTCTGCATCAAAAGTATGAACAGCGTACTGGAATTTTACAGTTCTTGTTACAACACAAAACCGACCGCTGCAAGGAAGTGTCCCGACTAACTGTTACGCGTATTTGGAACAGGGCGAAGCAACAGTCTAAACAGTACATCGAAGGAAATATTTGTGTCAATGTGACTTCTAAAAAAAGGTATTGTGGCCGAAAGCGCAAGAATTACTCGGAGAATTTGGATAAAATCAAAGAAACTGAACTTAATCGCCGTGGCACAATTCGGAGTTTGTTGTTTGCAATTAACAATTCAAAATCGACCGTTTTTCGCATTTTCAAAGAGGACACTTTATAAAAAGAAAAAGAATATCCTCAACAGTGAAGACTAGAGTTCTGTTTGTCAAAGGTTAAATCAAATCGATGTTTTGAGGATATGTAAATTGGTTTTACTTATCGCAAGTTAAAAGGTCATACTATATCACGCTGGACGAAGCAGAAACAGAAAAGCAGTGTAAAGGCAAACAGTTCATAATTAAAGTTATGTTTATGGCTGCATTGGCCCGACCAGTATTTCAACAGCAAAATGGGACTCTGGCCTTTTGTTTATAAAGAACCTGCAAAAAGAAACAGCTAGAACCGGACGAGAGGAAAAATGGTGACCAAAAACATCGAGTCTATTAACGCAGCAAATTGCAAAAAGATGATTATTGATAACGTTTTACCAGCCATTAGATTCAAATTCTCAAAAGCGCATAAAGCCAAGACAATTTGTGTTCAACAAGATAATGCAAAACCGCATTCTTATGAAAACTTCAAATCAAACACAAAATCACAGCCACCAAATAGTCCTAATTTGAATGTATTAGACCTTGGCTTCTTCAATGCTATTCAGTCTTTGCAGCACCAAACATCGCCAAAAACTATAGATGAATTAATAAATTGTTTTGAAAGTGCCTTCGACGCATTAACTAAAGAAAAATTAGATACTACAAAAGTGCATGGAGTTAACCATGATGGCCTCAGTAGGCAACAACTATAAAATTGAGCACATGAATAAAGAAAAACTTCGCCGCGAAGGACGTTTACCTGTTTCTATTATGTGCAACCAAACTGCCATTGAAACAGTTGAATTGTGTTTAAATGTGTAAAATTTTCATTTATGTATGCTTAAACTAAGTTATAAATTGTATTACTAATTTTATAAATACGATAAATCAGTTTTCAATGTTTTGTATACCATAATTTGGGACAAATTGTAAAGAGAAATGTATACCATAATTTGGGGCAGAGGGAGTAGTGATTATTTTCAACAATGGCAAATGGAGTACCTGTAGCATAAACTGCCCTAGCCAATAGTTGATCTAGCTTGTCTTGTTCAACTTTTGATGAAACGTCAATAAAACTATCGAGTGTTGAACTCGATGATTGTTCAGTTAACTTCTGATTCTGATGTTGATGTATTATCAACTAACTAGGGTGGACTAATCAGCCCAACTATCCAAGGTGAAGAAATTCCTTTTTAAAAGGAAGTCAAATATCTAGGACTAATCCTAGATAAAACCCTCTTATGGAATGGACATTTGCAAAGAGTTTTACACAAAGGTAGATTATCCTTGTGGACTTGTCGTATTCTTTGTAGAAAAGGTATAGGAAAGGCCGAGAGACTTCAGTTATCAGTAAACTTTCACGAATTCAACAAGTAGCTGGATTGGCAATCTCTGGTACGATAAGCACATCGAAAACTCTATCAATGGATGTTCTGCTTGGCCTATCTCCTTTGCATTTGCATATCGAGCAAGTGGCTAAAACTACCATTTACAGGTTTAAGCAATATGTTCAAAACTGCTCCGACATGTCCTACCAATGGGCTGCGGAAGACACTATAAGCACTGACATTGTGCTATCAATGCTGTCAGATTTGACGGGATCATTACCAGCGATTAATACTCGATGCCAAATTGTACTGCCTAAACGGCAGTCCTGGATCGAAATCAAAATTCTCTGGTTCAGGCAGATATTTACATGTTCACAGATGAATCAAAAAGCCGGAAGGGGCCGGGGAAGCTTACAGCCTGAGTACGTAGTGTACTGTATTTCAGGCGGAAGTATTTGCTATTGACATGGTTCCTAAAATCCTTCTTGAGAGAGTGGTGAAGAACATGATAGTACGATTTTTCTCAGACAGTCAAGCTGCTCTCGGCTAATTAAAACGGTGTCGGCTCTGGTTAATGACTGTAAAAGAACTTTAAACACACTGAGTTATGATAACAGAGTTTCTCTGATCTCGATCCCAAGTCACTCTGGGGTTACTGGCAATGAAGCTGCAGATGAGCTAGCAGGAAAGGGCAGCGCTAAAGCGTTTGTGGGATCAGCGACAGCGGTTGGTATATCATTTGCGATGGCCAAACATAGGATTAAACTGTGGGCTGAAGAGAGACTTCGCCTACTGTAGACCAGTTCTCCTGGAATGACACATGCTAAGTTGTTTATTAACATCGCCATTGTAAAACCCGGGAATATTTTAGAACTTGCTTGTAGGAGCATTAACGTTCTAATAGGTGTCTTTACTGGGCACTGCCGATTAAAGACACCTCAACTTGTTGGGCCTAGCCGACTATGTGCGGAGGACCAAGGAGACGGTTGAGCATGTTTTATGCTACTACCCTGCTGTTAATCGTAGATTCTCAATTTTTGAGTCGCAGTTTATCGCCCCAAATAATGTTCGATAAGAGCATTGGACTGCACGGTGAAATATGATCATTTTATCAATCGCGGTACAATACATCTTTGAAGTCCCTGTGCAAAGTTGGTTGGTTTGCTTTCCCGATATATAATTTATGTAATGTAATCATCCACAACCATTTCATTGTCGTTTAAAAATAAAATTAAAAAAATAATTTCAAAATAATTTTCATAGCTGCCAGCTAATTTTCTATTGCCTGTCGCAAAATTTTTCTAGGCTTACCAATCGTTGAAGAAGTAGAAGCAGTAGTTGAAAAGAAAGTACAAGAAATCTGCTCCTGTTGCTCTTGGTCAAACATTTGTTTCACGCCACCTGCTTATTTTAAACATCTTAATAAATGTTTCGTCATTCTTGTGGCATTGTTTGTATATTCAGCAGAATATTTCATTTTTCCATTAACTTTCTTCATATTAAAATAGCTCCACACATTACTCTTCGGTTTTGTTACAACTTTGTTCTTACCGTCCATTATTCCCGCATCTGCCATGCCTTATTTCACACAATAATCAACGCACAAACCTAATCACATTCATTCACGTCTGTGGGATTCCCGAACCGTCCGACGAATTCTCCTTTTTCATCTCTAACTTTGCATTAATTTTTGAATTTCTTTCAAAGTTACTATCATGTATATCAAAAAGGGCCATTGTTTTGGCACCTTCACTGTTGACGTCTTCTTGTGTTTTAAGGTTTAACAGATCTTTGTTGGTCATCTATCATGCGAAGCAAAAAGTTTATTTATATGTTCTGATTATACTTCCAGATTTAACTCTTTTGCTATTTCTACAATGTTGCCAACGAAGTCGATGAAGTTGAAATCGAGTATTTTCTTGCTTTCTTCTTCTTTTTTAAGTACCATGCAGATTCCTTCGTAGGTTCATCGCTTTTCCTATCTGATGGTTCTATTATGTGCTGCATTCTGTTATGTTCGAAAGTCCTGACGGATATTTCTCAGCCACGATAATTTTTTTCTACCAATCCTCTTTTTCCTCCGTCAATTTAAACCCGGAGAATGAGGCATTGGAAATGGTAGCGTTCTCCTTGTAGTATATGTCCGAGATAACCTATCTTTCTTTTCTTGATATTTTCAAAAAGTTCTCGTTCTCCTAGACCGGACCTTGGGAGAACATCTTCGTTACTCAGGTGATCGACCCGAGACGCCTTCAACATTAGCCACAGGATCCCCATTTCGAAAGCTTCGATTTTGTTGATGATTGATATTTTCAGCATCCACGTCTCAACCCCATATAGGAAAACGGACCAGAGTTAGCATTTTACAATTCTATATCTGAAGCTGAAATTCAGTTTCTAGTCTGTAAGATATTTTCAAAGTCTTAGAAATGTTGTTCAGCATTGAACAAGCTCAATGCTGTATCTTATCTCTTGATCTGGGTTCCATCCCTCATTGATCCTGCATCCCAAGTATCTAAATTGTTTGAGCTGTTCGATG